AAGATGATTTTGAACCCACATTAATTTTACATGAATGTGTTTAATTTGTGATGTAGTCCCAGTACAGAAATTAGCTTTCGTATTGATATAAAACAATTTAAAGACCTGATTTAAAGTATACGAAATTTTAATTGAATTTTCCAAACGGGGAAAACCTGGGTGAATGCAAACGGTGTAAAACTTAAAAAAACGAATGAACTGGGGGTTGTTTCTCAGGTGTTGGCACTATTCATCAAATAGTCGAGTACGAAGTGAAAAATCGTCGCCCTCATTAGTGCGATTTTACAATTCCGACACCCTGCACGCAACAAATGCTTCAAACCGTGTCAGAAACAGACGAGCTCGTTATATAATTGGCCCTTGTGAGATACAGTTTAAACCTACCATTCTCGCACAATATGTGCTTTGCATATTTTTATCTTTACACGAAATGGGCGTTTTTTGCATTTTAAATTTGTTATAAAACTGTTTTTAATTAAAATTGTCTTGAAAGAGCAACTGATCCACTTGTCAATCATTCAATTAAATTGTTGCTTTCCAATTTTCCGCCTCTCGTAGATCTAGTCAAGCTTGAAGAAATATGAGAATTTTATTGATGTATATGTGAAACTTTCTATGAATAAATATTGTTTTGTAGGGGGTGATGTAGGTTTACGCGGATCATCCCGACAAAGAATTATAAATAAAATACAAAATTTTAAATATTAGATACACACACACAAACCTAACGTGAATACGAAATAAAGCCCAATCCAAATAAAAGCTGCCGCCTCAGATCAATTCTTACTCAAATTAGGATCTTTACATTTATTTATTCTGGAAATTTTATACATTGGGTTTACAAGTGTGTTTACGAATATGCTTACACGACTAACACCCAAATTCACGATCTCTAATTCAAAATTTGTCAGATTTATTCCTCTCACGACTTCCAAATTTTGCATTCCGTTAAGTCTTATTTCAGATTCTGGAAAGTTTAGACATAGTGCAGTAGCGCATATTCTGCTAAAGTTCTAAAACAAATCGATTTCTGTATAAGTTAATAAATATTTTAGCAGAAGAAGGAAAACGCTTTTGAGTAAAGTTAATCTACTTGCAGTTCAAATTAGTTATCTAAAGGACTCGGTGACATACTTGTAACAATAATGCAAGCGTTTGAGTATGGTTTATTGTTAACCAACTTATTTTGTTCCCTCTTTTCATTCACAATGCATTACGAGTATGTGTTTTAAACATTTTTAGTACCTTCTTCTGAACTTACTTTTAGTGCTTTAGTTCGGGAGTAGTTAACTCTATAAATCGCCAATTCGTAACTTTTACGCTTTTAAAGACATTCATATAAAGTCAACAAACTGTGATTTCCGATTTATTTGCTACTTAACATTCCAGTCTAGAGAATTCAGGCGAATATTTAATAACCTTTTATTTTGTGTTTCTACCATATTTCATTCATAAAGAGCTGTTCACGTCAACTGTCAGCTCAAAAATAAGCCTAACATATCCTTTCCTCTGTTCTAATAATGCCTACAATATTTCGAGATCCTTCGTACTCTGCTACCACTGCCACAGTAGCGATTTTAATGGAGTAGCTAACCTTTACACTTTAAGGTGTGGTCTTAGCCTCGACCCTTGTAATCACCAAAGAGTCCAGAAAAATTGCCACATTCAAACTTTGTAATGTGAACACTAATAATAGTGCAACTCTGTCTATGTGAGACTAATGCTAATAGAGAGTCCTTTATCTTCCTGAATAGCCTCGTAACTTTATATCTATTGTTTCAAAGTTAACCGAGTTATTACTACTCTTGTCATAAGACTCGAGAAAATACTGCCTCATAATAAAGCTTACAAGGAAATATACTGGTGCAATAGAAGAGCAATAAACTGTAAATTATATTTGATAAAATCTTGAAAACTGGTCGCAATTAATAGGAATTAGAACAAAATTTCTTATTTTATGACAGAATTTTCTCTTGCAATATTGATTGAATATGGTCACAAATTTCAAAGTGCCACTAATGTAGTTGTCCCCGTTGGGGCAAGTCAGTATATATTTCACTTTTGCTATCTTACGTGCTAAAGATATGTCACTTCTTCGTGACATCCTCTTTAATGAATAGCCTCAGAGTTTTTTAAACCTTTCAAGAGCTCTATCCAAATCAATTTTCTTGAAAGAATGTATTTTTCATATAAAAAAATCATGCAAATTTTTCATTTCCGTGCAATTTTATAATATTTTGACATAATTTCACGCTATACCTAGTTTATCTTTGTCACTCTGTCGTCATAATTTAATGTATTTAATAATTTACGTTTATTGCCATTGCCTAATAGTTGAAACAATACTTACTTTGTAATTATTGCAACTCCCTAAGCAGTCGAGCTTTTCATTGGATAATGTACATAAAGTTTAAATTTGTCGCCAATAAGTGAGCCAATTTTCAATCAAAATAGACCAGTTTAATTAAACAGCCTTGAATTTGTAATTTTCTCTATTATATTTGTTGTTTGTTTACATTTCGATGATTGTGCCAAAAGTTTGTGTAGGCAATTTGGCCGGGTAGGCAAATAATTGACCCACATAGTCAACTGAATTGTCAGGGAGAAACATGATCTATCTTTTTATTGGTATCAACAGTGCTAGTTTTCTCCAAAAAGCGACAAACAAAGGTCGACAAATTTTAGATGATCCTGACATAGAAACCGCAGGAACTTGATAAATGAGACCTTGTCATGACGTCTAGAACTTCATAAATTATCATAATATTACTCAAACTAAGTCACATACGTGAGAAAATAAAAATTCTGAATCAACTGATTTAGCCCTAGATTCATTCGTTTCATGATAAAATAAGGTGTCAGGTGAGGAAATATACAGAATACAGATATATTATCGTGCGTGTTGCTTATCCTCCATTTTTCACCTGTCACTCCAACTCCAAACATATCTGTATATTACCATTACAAATAAAAACCAAACAAAATGCTTGCAAGTTTCAAACATTATTAATTTTTTATGAACAATGTTTACGAAACTAAAAATCAAATTTAATGTATTCTTGAACACCAGCAACTGAAGAATGTAGACTGTGACTTTTGAATCATGTCTGGAGAACACAATGAAAAGAAAACTCATCTATTTCGAAATTGAGTCGTAATCACAAATTGAATGAAAGTCTCAAAGCACTTTATTAAGCAATTAATCGTTTCAAAAACGGTTTCATGTAGAGTTGGCTCTGGTTGGTTTGTGTTTTTTGGAGCATATTGATGGTCATGTAGCAATACTAGTTTCCCAACTCTACTGCATGCACTCTCGTTGGTCGTGCGAATTATTAAAATCTTCGCACACTTTGAAAACATGATTTTTGTGCAACCCCAAGAACAAAATTAATTTGAGAGTACATACGTGGCTCCGATTTGATCGCTTTCTCAATACGTGAAGCCGGAATTTGAATAGAATCTAAAGTAACTTTGTCTGCCTCAGATCGTACAATAAACGCTTTGTAAAAGCCGAGTTCGTACGAGGTAAAGGCAGTGATGTCTTCTTTCATTCAGATGTTATTGCGTGCTTTTCACTAAACTTTTGCTTTGATGAATGCGAATTTGTTACTACCAAGTGACTGGATTTCTTAAAACAAAATTTACGCTTGAATATGAATTGGGGTTACGAGTTGCTGTTTTATAATCTATAAGACGGAAGCACCGATCTTATCTACAAATTTGTTCGCTTTTAATACTGAGATTAAACGGGCTACAATATTAAAAAATGCGTCATTTTAAGCACAGTCACGTAGCGTGAGTTGAATGCTGCGTCCTCAGAATTCCCGATTGTCTAATTTAATTCCGGAAGAGTTTGAGAACTTATTTTGTAAATTGCATCGTTTCATTGCCTCCTGATCTATGCACTTGTCTGTCTACTACAAATCTTCAAGACACTATTTGTAAAAGCAACAAACATTTACTTTATACAATCAATAAAATAAAATAATTCAAAAAAAAATTACGATCATTTTTAATGACAACTACAAAAAACATAACATAACATTTTAATCTTTGCTTTTTTGTTTAGTTTATTGACGAAAATGGGAAATAAGCAATGTTTCGTCTTGTAACATAAGGCGAGACCAAATTTGGGCAAGAATTTAGTAGGTATCGATAAAATCGTATTTCCTCTATTATTTTCTGAGCTTCCTTGAATGTGAGGAAATTAGCCAACTGTCACCCCATTTTTTGAAAAAATAAAAGGTATTATAATATGTATGCGGGCTTTAGTGCTTTTTTTTTGTTTCTCTCCCCGAATACTGACCTTAAATTTAAAAATTATCAATAGCAAGTTTTTTAACTGAATTAGGGTTAAAGATCGATAAAATATGAAGGAAGTGGGTAATTTCCTGTTGCACGAAAGTATGGTCCGCCTTTTCGTCAAGAGTCCTTAATCTGGAGATGTTCGTATCGCATGAGTTGACTTGGTATTGTTTCTCCGCAAAACTTTATTTACAATGCAATGGTTTTAATGGAGTTAGTTAGAGAGCGGAAATTTATGCACTTCAAACATGATCAATCATACACTGATAAGTGAAAAAGCCACCAAATGCATTAACTTCCGAGAATAACGAGCAAATAAAGTTTTTGTGTTGGGGCAATACGGCTTCCCTAAACTCAGTTATCGATATTTTATTCCAAAACGATTCTCATAAATTGCTTATTGTTGCTGCCGCTCGCCAGGATTCGGTTAACATAAATTGCGAATGGTTACATGCAACTTATCGCCTGCGATTTTTTAATGACATAAATTCTCCGAATAAATGAGACCAACATATTTTACGGGAAGGATTTTTTCCCAAAGAAATATCAACAGGAAAGGAATAACAGACAAGAAATAATTTAACTTTTCCAGACAAGATTAAAATATTTATGATACCTATCAAACTAACAACTACTGTAATAGTCCTTATTGACGTTATCCTTGCATGTTCTAATAAATTTTCAATCTGTTTCAGATGAGGAGACAGACGAATTTAATTTCCATATAGCAAGGTATAGACCTGAAGAATTACAGAAATTAGCGTCGAAAACAAAATTTACGAGGAAAGAAATTCAATTAATGTACCGAGGATTCAAACAGGTTAGTAATAAAAAGTCTAAAAAGACGTAAGGCGAAAAGTTTCTTGCCAAATTGAATCTTATTCAAAAGTTCATCTTTCAACGCGAACTCAAATCTGAAACAAACCTATGATTTAATCCCCAATCAGAAAACAGCACAATTTTAAATTAACTACAAATTTATATTTTGAAGCAAATCCTCTCAAATCGACTAAACAATTTTTGACTAAAATTCGTTAAAAAACATTTGATCCAGATATGTACGGAGTAGAAGACTAAAAAATACTAATTTTTGTGCCACCTAAATTTTGGGTTTTGCTTCAAAATAATAATAAATTTGTCTTTAGCAACGCTACCTGTGTGTTTTATTTTCATGTTGTAATTATGCGATTAGCTAAGTACTAAAATAAGTGTGCTTGTCAAAACTAACTAACCTTTCCAACATCGCCTTTGTTAATTGTAGTTTGCATATGCAAATGTTCGTTTTGTGGGATGAAAGCCGAAAGCGTATAGCAATAGCCGTAACTTTAACATATTTCCATACTGTTCTGTAATTCCTAACTTTATGATAAAATTTAAATTCTGATGTGACTCTTTCCGAATATTAAATTGTTACGACCGGGCTATTTATATTTCCTCCGATCGTTCCTTATTTGATCGTAAATTAATTCAGACGATATTAGATTCTAGCAAAGTATACCAACGACGAGTTAAATCCTTGAATTTATAAATTGATTTTTTTCAGGAATGCCCTACCGGAATGGTAGACGAGGACTCCTTCAAACAAATATTTTCGCAGTTTTTTCCATTAGGTGGTAAGTTATCTGTAGAATTAATAAGCGATTTTGCGATAACACTGTAAGAAGACAACCAAAACAACATAAACGTAACATAAAGGCCCACAATGTGCTCTGAAATCACCGGGTAGGAAAGAAACAAGCATTAAAAAGATATTACACTATATCAGCTCTGTATTACTATGAAAACCTTGAACAGGTAACGACACATCTCAGACAAATCACTTCTCAAGAGGATACTTTTGTTAGCACCGAATGTTGATTGAAGGAAGCACTAAAATAATTGAATTAACAAAGACCGACAATAACTTTTACTTTCATGAAACAATTGTTTAAAGCACAATATTGTCTTCTAAAATTCTTCCCTTTAGGGAAACAAGGGATTCGATCCTACGTAAGATAAAACAATAGTATTCCACCAACGCTTTTCCTCGAATGACACCAACTCGCTTTAAATGATATCTAACGGATTCTTTTCCACTCTATCTATCTTTCCCTCATTAATTAACATTTCGCAGTTGGTTAACCACTTAGCTTAATGAAAAGTGACAGTCTCCTATTCTATTTTAGCGAATGAATAAATTAATGTCATTTACATTAGTTGCGATTAGACCGCACCAAAGCCTCACATAGTTGAAGCTATATTTAAGGACAATTTACGTTATTGCAAGTACTGCAGACTCATCTTTGATCTATATTTCATTTTCATTAAAAATGAAAAACATTTCGTTCTTGTCTTTTAGATATACTTCGCATCAATACTGATGCATTGAGTGGTCGCTCCTTACGTTTTATTTCTTCGTTTCCTCTTGACCTGCATTTACAACGCCAGAAGCTCATTAATTATTTTAATGATGACATTTATGTTAATATCTTATTCTGAACTTTACGTCGGTTTTTGAAATGCCTTTAAAAGCCTGTAATTTAATTAGATACAGGTTCCTGCAAGGTGGCTAGCTGTAGTGTAATCTCGTCTATGTAATCTACTTACGAACCCCCGAAAGCTGATTATCACACTTGCAGTTGTTAAAGAAATGCATTTTAAGACAGCTGAGATATTGCTGTACCCAAAACGACGGTTGGCTGTTATTAATTCCCTTATACAATGTAAGATAATGATCTTAAACATGCAAATGGCAAAACTGTTGCTTTTAATGAATATGCATTTACATTTGGTGTGATTTTATTCGCGAAAATTTGCTTCTACATTAAGACTCGCTTTAATTATGACGTAACTCTTGATAAATAATTAAAATAAAAATAAATAATTAAAATAATAAACAGAAGTGGTAATAAAAATGTTTTTGTCTCGTGCGTAATTTAAAAATATTGAAAACCATTGATGGAAGTCTTTCTTTAATGGAAATATGATATAGTGTGTCAATATTTAATAACCCTTAAAATATGTGGCGGGGTGTTTACAGAGTATATTGTTTGGAGAAATGAAATACACTGGCTCGATTTCGCAACAATTATTCTCGAATAGAGAAATGGAATAATAGCGTCTTGTATCCCTATTCACTTAACTATCGCTATAAATCTACAAAGTTTTTCGTTCATCGTTTACATCCTTGCTAATTGTTAAACTAACCCCGACGTAATCCAGGACTACACAAAGATTAGACCTGAATAACCTGTGCTTTAGTACGAATGATCGAATTCGCCTCTGTTAGATTTTATCGAACTTTGTTTCGAATTATTCCTTGATTGATTAATAATGGGACAAGCGATTAATCATCCAAGAAGCTTTTAAGGGAGTTTGTCGATATTGGCATTTTTAATGCTCGTTCAATTTTGGTTTGATTGCGTTCCAAACTTTCGATTCTTTCATTTTTGTTGTCTAAAGGAACAATACAAAAATTTGACACTAAAGAACGAGTGGTTTGAGCGTATCTCAAGCGTCCCGTCAAGCCTATTCTTTTGTTACTTTACACGCAGGTTCGGAAGAAGTCATGCATTTACAAACGTTAACCTGGCATATGTTTGACTTAATATCCGATTCGTCAAAAATTATTTTCTCTTCAACTGAACAGGTCGCAAAAATTCAACGAGTGGTTGTTGAATGAAATGTGAAAATTTTGGAATAAAATTGAGCAGTTGAAAACAATGGCCAGATTTTCAACTTTCAACCTTCAACTTTTCCAATTCTAAAAGAAAACGATTATTTTGCAGATTTAACCCAGACCAGCGGTATGGCAGATATAAACTAAAAAGTAAAAATTCGTATAAGAGTTTTTGTTTATGTTGTTATTATCAAATTATCAAAAATATAGTTTTTCACACCTATTCCAGTTATTTCTATATAAAAAATGGACTACAATCGACCATTTTAAGTGTTATTTTCGTGCTAATTTTAAAACTTGAATTTTTTGTTCAAAAAGAAGGCGTCGTTTTCCCGTAGCTGTAGATCTTTTTTAATTAATCAAAGTGATTGCCGATTTCATCCGTGTGATAGAATTATTGTTAACTCTTGATTCACCCAAAGGAAGAATTTTATTGCCAAAGTTGTATCATTTTGGTCCTACACCATTGCATTGCTTGGTTTTGAACAGGTCGCAAAAATTCAACGGATACGAATACGAATAAAAGTGAGCAATTGAAAACAATAGCAAAAATTGAACCAAAAATTTTTAACTTGCTACATTCAATAGTAATTGGAGCTGTTCTATAAAAATTGACACAAAAGACTAACGAAAACTTTTTTTTTCAATAGACTTTATTTTTTAATGTTTTAGGAAAGTATGTACAAAATTAGTTTACAATGTGAACAATTTTTTAAGGACTAAATTAATTACATTTTTACAATCTTAACAACTTATAAGGTTGGGATCGAACATTTTTCTTGTTTCGCTGTGGTCCTACACATTGTTTGGTCTTCTCTTCAACAGGTCTCAAAAACTCAACGGGTGGTTGACGGATCACAGTTGGAGCTATACATCGAACCTTTTTTGTACCATTGGTTCCAAACATTTTCGTTGGTCCTTTCCGCTCAATCGTCATCAGCAAACCGGGATTTAAAATCTCTTGTCGTTGTCTTTCACGTTCGGCATCCAATTCTTCTAGAACTGTCCTTCGCAAAACTGGATCTCCTTGACTGATTTTGCTCCACAAGCCATCTGTTCGAACCACGTTCAGAAGAGATGAAGGGTCCAAAAACCTGAAATATTAGAAAAATAAATAAAATAAAAATAAATTTGACTTACCGAAAAATGGTAGACCACATCTCCACGGGCAGACGGAGCTTCGGCAAGGCGAAATTCGCAGCGACGAGGAAAGGAAACACTTGGTACATCTTGGAAAGCTTGGAATAAACTGAATTTGGGTAGCATTGGCCGCTGTTTAAATACAGTGCGTCCCCACCTCTTTTGGAAAGCGGAAGAATTGTGGGGGTGCGGTGGGGGTGATAGACGATAGGAATAGAGAGTGGGGGCAAACATTTTCAGTGGTTTAAGTTTTGTTCCTTCAACTGTTATATGTTCAGCTAATTTTTTTCAAGATCATAAAGTATTTAATTAAGAGAAATTTTAGCATTTTTACAAGCCTTTTATTTACTTTTCTAAATTTAATATTTATAAGAAGAAGAAAACAAACTGAACCGACAAGAAAACTAAACTTTAGCAGGTGTATTTTTTACGTAAATCCTTGAATATCTTTCTTTCACCATTAATTTCAGGTGAATTTGTGAGAAGTGGTTGATACCAACATTTGTTCTGATTTTGTGGTTTAAAGTGCAACTGTTCTGTATGTTACCGCAATATATATATAATCCTAATAAGACAGCAAAATTGTGTTCCCTTGACCCGTCAAACAAAAACTAATACAGCGACTAAGCAAGATACATCCTATTTGATACATTCTATACTGATGATAAGAAACATCTCCGGCAATCTCATCATCTAGAGAGCAACACAGTTGCATGTTAGCCACTTCCCACTTTCAGTAAGGAATGAAATAATTTCTCTTCTCATAAAGTCTCTGAAACATCTTCGGCTGTCCCAAGCTGAAACACAGTATATGCTTTAATTAATGTTTTACTGGACCCAAAAATGACGTATTATTTAACTTAAACATATCGTTTTTAAAGGGAATTTAAGACGTGGGTGTAAAAGTCTCCAAAACATATTGAAAAATTTATAGTGCCAGATATGCACTGTGTTTTTCATTAGTTTAATTTTTACATTTAAAAATGGAAAAAAAGTAAATACAATTTCAAGCAGTTTTTAGTACAAAAGCAATTAAGTGATAATAGTACAGACGGGGTGTTCCAATAGAAGATGTAATTTCAATTTCCCAAAAAAAATATATTTTTTTTGTTTAACGATTATATTTGTATTTCAGAATCAAGTTCGAACATTGCCATTAAACATGGAATACAATCTCTGTCAAATGTTCGCCTCTGCTTATTTGGCAGAAAAGCATTCTTTTACGGAAGTTTTGGACATTTTTATATCAAGAACAAATATAAAAAAAGACAAAATATCTCAATCACTTTGGGAAGATGTCGGCTTTATCGCCCTTCACATTTTACTTTCGCATTTCTTTTAAAAAGCCACAGGAATTAATTTTATTCCATGGGTTTTGTTTATTATGTAATTTTAAGCAAATAATTACTAATGAGTTTGTTAGCGTAAAAATAAACCAAAACATGTAATAACTCATTTTGTAAAAATTGTTGGTTACTGTGTTTTTGCTTGGCACAGCCGATCTATCAGTCTGGTAAATTTGTACAAATATGAGGAGTTTTAATTACACTCTTATTTCATTATCATTATCCTTAAATCTTAAATCCTTACATCAATGATGATAATGGATGATGCTTTGAAATATTGATGCACACGTAAAGACTTTTGGAAGTTTGTTTAATTAAGAAAGGACGAAAAAATCCCGACGAAAAGGTTTCGAGTTTCTCGTAAGATGGAGGTTTAGGCCTAAAACCCCGTTAAGTTCCCTGGAAGTGAAAGCACTTTGACGCAACGTGCATTTCAGGAACGTCAAGGGAATATGCTCAAGACTATGCGTTATCTGCTCATATACTACGTGATAAACTTTATCAATTCAATAGTGGATTTAAAGCCCTTTATATGCCACAAATAGACAATGTTATCAAAGCCTACACTCCCTATGCTTACTGATTCTTCCATTTAACAAATGCAGCTTTTGGAGACAGTGTATGTTTTACAGACGCCCGCATGTCTGTCACTGAAACATCGCTGTAAAAAATATTCAACGATTGACTATTTTTACATATCAAATCAAACAAAACTAAATTAGAATTTAGCAAAGCTTTTATTGACTTTACAACAGAAAGGCGTCACTCTATTCAGATAATAGACGGACTGAAATTCGCATGGGATCATTTGCCGAACGACCTACTGACACTCAAGATACAAGGACACCTAATACGAACAAACTGCCGTCCTAGAATAGAGGTCACAATCAGAAATTGCTTCAAGACAGAAAATGCACTCAGTTATCTATAATCGGATATAAACTCAATTAATTTTGCAAAGCTCTTTTAAAAGGATTTTACACTTACTGAAATAGGTGTTCCGTTCTGGTGTCTACACAAACCTGATTATAATACACAATATATCATTGCTATTGAGATAATTATTTACTATAGTCCTACACTACTTGATAAAGATTGAGATAAATTTCTAATTTCATTTTAATTAAAAGCGTTCAGATTTATCGTCTTCAATTCTTTCAAGTGCTTCATTTTTGTTTCTCATTCTTTGCTTAAACTTTGTTTACAAGGATGCACAATTGGTGAACAATCTAGAAGGGTTTTACGGTCGGAATCTTTATGGCTTCAGTTTCGACTGGCTGTAAAAAACTGACGATAGAGAGAATTTGAATGTTTTTCTCGCTTTTGTTATTATATTTATTTTTATTGTTCAATAGGGATTTTTTGGTGACAGACAGAATAGTTTTGGAAATATAAAGATTCATAGTTAAAACTATAAATTAAGTTAAGAAGGCTTATGGTATAACAAATTGCCGCATGAAATTTATAGCTGCCTGGATAATAACGAAAAAGGCTGAAAGATTCAACTGTTGAGCTACCGCTCACCAAGTGTGTGAAAAATAGGACAAATATGAATAAAAGTTAACAGTTGAAAACAATAACCAGATTAAAAAGAGACTTGCAATTGCTTCAATAGTAATTGAAGCTATCTTGGGAGACTTGATACAAAAAAAAAAACAAAAACGATTTTTTTTCTAAAAGATTTTATTAAGTTATGTACAATATTATTTACAGTTTTTAATTTTAACATTAAGAACAAAAATATTTATAATTTACAGTCTTAACAACTTATAGGGTTGGGTCCGAACATTTTTCTTATTTCGTTGTGGTCCTACACCATTGCATCGTTGTTTGGTTTTCTCTTCAATAGGTCTCAAAAATTCAACGGGTGGTTGTTGGATCACAGTTGGAGCTCTACAACGAACCCTTTTTGTACCATTGGTTCCAAACATTTTCGTTGGTCCTTTCCGCTCAATCGTCATTAGCAAACCCGGATTAAGAATCTCTTGTCGTTGTCTTTGACGTTGGGCATCCAATTCTTCTTGAACTGTTCTTCGCAAAACTGGATCTCCTTGGCTGATTTCATGCCACAGACCATCCGTTCGAACAACGTTCAAAAGAGATGAAGGGTCCAAAAACCTGAAACAAACAAAGTATTAGTAAAATAAACACAATGAAAATAAATTTAACTTACCGAAAAATGGTTGACCACATCTCCACGGGCAGTCGGAGCTTCGGCAAAGCGAAATTCGCAGCGACGAGGAAAGGCAACACTTGGTACATCTTGGAAAGCTGGGAATAAACTGATTTTACTAGCTCATGCAGCGGTATATATACACCTTTTCTCCCGCCCTTCTGAATAAGGGTAGGAAAATAGTGGTGGGGTTAGGGAGAGTGGGGGACTTGCCATGTGGAGAGTTTTTTACTGATTACAATTAAACTAATTGTACTAATTGCAATTAGGAGATTTAATAATTCGGCTACATATGGACGAGTGAATTATAATCTCTTGTAAAATCAACTAGAAAGTGTATTACAAAAATATAATTATTTACTGGCTTTACACAAACAGTTGTTCTAATTTTGGTTCAGTGCTGGTGAAATCTATTACACTTGGTAATACCTTCCATTGGTTCAATCTGAAAATCCCCTAGACATTTAAAGTTCTAACGCTCAAATCGAAAGTGTTTTTAACGATTTTACTGGTCGACAATGAATCCATTAAGATACAAAAGTTTTATGTTATTCCCAATTTTTGTAAAACACGTTGCGAATTGACAGCGGAAACACTTAAGTTTTCTAAAGTCTGTGTTTTGATGCCTAATCGATCACCAAACTTAGAGGCTTAGAAACTTTTTTATAACTCAGATAGTTCTGTGGATGCTCGAAAAAGTATACATCTCTAGAGAGTTCACATGAAAAGTTTTTTCAGAATATTATTAAATAATTCATAGACTGCTTGAAAAGCCGTCTCTGTGTTTGAATTTCCACGATGTCAATTATTTTAGGTAAACTTGTTTGAGCATAATTTTATTATTTAATATTCATCGAACGCAAATAAACAGGAAAACGCTCACACATTTTTAATACCAGCTCGACTGTGTTTACTTTAACAAACTCATCTTGTTGTTTCATTTTATTTATTTAAAATTTAACAACTAGTGTTTATACAAGCATATTTGAGTTTTTTTGATTACAAAATTGAAATTCCACTTTACATAACAATAGAGAATCTAATTAGAAAAATTAGTTTATTTTTAAAACACAATCAATCATTTGAAAAAAGTGCAGAATAAATCTGGAAAAAACTCAAATACTAATTTGCTTTTACAAAACCAAAATCATATTTTACCTCGGCACAATTGACTTTTCTTATCGCAGTCGTTTAAAAATTCTTTGTAAGTTATTTATAGAGGGGAAGAAATATAATGATAAAATTCAGACGTTTGTGCGAACTGCGCCGAGGAAGGATAATTGCCCCACAATTACGCGCTTTAATCGACCAATTGCTCCAATTGTCATTTCATGCAAAATTATTACTCCAGAATGACTAATAATGGCACATAGATGTAATTAACTCACGTAAAATAACTTTTCTACGCCAAATAAAGTATCTATCTATCTATCTAATGTTTTAATAAATGCAAAACAAGTTTAGCTGTTGCAACTTTTAACCTAAGGTGGGCAAACTTTGTTCATAGGGGGCCAAAAAGTTTAAGAAATTTTAGAGAAGGACCAGAATTATAGAAAAAATGAATCTTGTTTTGAAATATTTTAATCATATAAAATAAACATTACATTACATTAATACACACTTTCACAAATATTAGTTATAAATTACAATTTAACTTTTATTCGAATAGGTGTATGAGACATATGAAATTGCTTTTGATTTACCATAATATCTCCGAATACAGGTTCGATGAGGTAACTTTCAGCAGCGAGAATTTACTAAGAATTTACTATTCATTTCGAAGGACCGTCGGCGGGCCGGATTAAATCCTTTCGCGGGCCGTACTTTGCCCACCACTGCCTAAGACAATAATGGAAAATACTTTATCAAGTTTTAAAAGAACGAAAAATCGTAAAAATACAACAAAATACGGGTTGCTTGGAAATGCTCGAATTGGGATTCCTCGGATTTTTCTTATACATCAAACAATTAAGTGGCTACTGGGTTAAATGCGACGTCTCAGTTGCAGTTGTGACACAACCGGATAAACGGTCACCTGAATCGATTTTTAATTTCCCATCTAAATCGGGACGAAATGTACGAATTTATGAGCAAGCATTGATCGGGAGATAAATTTAGCTTTGTAGGATGCAACCCTTCTATATTCTACGTCAGAGATTGACAAATTACTGCACCAATTTATTATTTGACAATGGAACATCAACGCCCACATCAGAGTTTTTCAATTTTAAACCACACATCACACATTTAAAAGTATATTAATGTCAATGAATTGAATAGGTTCGTTCTTTGAATATGCGATACAGTTTTTGAAAAAAAACATTTTCTAGTCAGTTTCAGGAAAACTGGAACCGACATTTCCACCCAAAACATTCCTAATCCTATTCCAAACTAATCTTGTTGGTAACATATGTCTTGTGGGACTCCGGTTAAGTGTAATCAATTAAACTGTAGATGTGTATTGTAGCGAACATTAGTTTAGGTCGTTGGTGAAGTGATTAATTATCCAAAAATTCGAGAAAAGTATTATCGTAGGCATGCAACCAGTAATACAATTTCACAGTTGAGTTTTTTCAAGTCAAGGCGGATGTGTTATATGATCCGTACTTGACGATGTGAGAAAGAAAAAATATCAGTAACAGTAACACAAGGCGTACTAAAGTAAATGCATAAAAAAGCAATACAGCGCGTATATTGATCGAGCTTAATAATTTGTACTGGGGTTTGTTTCGTTTAATTCGAATTATTAGATAGCTTGTGTGAATTCTGCTAGATCAGGATTTATTATGTTCAAAACCCTCATAATTGCCTCCAATTATAATCCTATATTACAATTCTAACTTTTACTGGGCCCTCTTTTCAACCAAATGTTTTACACAGTATGCGGATATAAATCAAATAACATTTTTGGTAAGTGATTTGTAAATGCCGAAAAGTGATGAGTTTTTTGTTTCAGATGCAACGAACTACGCTCATTACGTCTTCAACACAATCAAGCAAAAACAAACAGGAAAAATCAGTTTTGAGGTAAAATTGAAAGTCCACATTTTTATCAATCCAAACAATGTAAACGTGACGTAAAAGGTTATCGTCGTATTGACAATTTTTGACACGAATATTTTCTTCCTTGAACTTTGCAATAATCTATCATTAATCCAACAGCCTCGCAAATTAATTAAACAATTAGAGCATTGCTGTGACACTCGACCATTACCATTTTGTTCGATAAATATTTATTATTCACGATGGAGACGACCAATGCGACCTTTCGGGAAATTTATCATTTAAACACTTATTAAAAGAACAAACCAAATAGTTCATTTAGTATTTAGCGGACATAAAACAATTAAAAAGGGATAGTTGCCCATTTTTATATGTCAAAAACGACATAATTATAGGTTTAGCTACGTGTAAAACTCTCTCATCTCTTTGCCAAGCTTCAATTTAAATTACTGAAACCTTTTAAAAGCACGTATTACACCACTCTCAGTGCGTCAAAAAGCACTTAAATCAGTACATTTCCTTATATAGTGACAAGATCAATAAATCTTCCTTATTTTAAGCCCTTGCTTTTTTAACTAAAAAGGATCTTTCTAACGCAACTTCAAAGAATTGTGCCCATCACCTGCCCAAATTACACATGAGAATGTTCTGTGTTTTGCAAAACGTTCCTATAAGAGGATAATAATGTATTCAATAAATAAAACATATCGACTATTTATAAAAATGTTAATGACATAATTTATATGAATAAATTTCCCAATATTGGATTTTTCATTCGGCACATTATCTTCTGCTATGGTTTATTTATAGTACGTCAAATGTCAGTGATAATCGGATAGATTTTTAACTGATCATTTTCAAACTATTTCACAATTTACAAAAGCAATTAACTTTTGGTTCATTAACTTGTCAATCGAACGTTTTGTTTGTTATTTTATAAACAGCTGTAGATTATAACACATGAAAAATATTTTTTGATATAAGCTAAATATAATTTTAGAAAAATTCGAAAATGAGTTATCTGTTGTAGTTTTCCAATAGATAAGACACATGTCTTAAAAATGAAATAATAAAGAGATTTAAATTTTCCTTTTTATGACTTTATTTGTCATAATCCGGGATGTGTGAAGAGTTGCATCCGGATGATTCCACCTGCATTGTCTTGTCCTTGGCCATGGCTGGTGGGGCGACGTTGACGCCGGGGTCGAGTCGAGGTAATATTGATTCCTTCTATTAATAGCAGAGGGTGCGCTTGGTGCTTCGCATCATTCTGTTCTTAGTCAGGTTTTGGGGTGGTTTATTGTGTTCTTTTTCGTAAAATTCTGTGCTTACTTTTCACCAGAATCGTGTAATAATGTCGGAAAGCGACGTGTTGCATAATTCATGTGATTTGTTCAGGTAGCGCGTCCATACGCTACAGTTTTATTCTATTGTTTTCCATTACAGCTATTTGCGAAGCCGTATATGCAAAAAGAGAATATTTAAGGGCAGTGCTCGCTTCGGGAGACTCTCCCCTACGATGTTCTGCCTTATTTAACTTTTCTATCTAGTTTATATGTTTGGTCAGTAAATTTCGGTCCAACTATTTCCTTTTTTCTTCTCTCCATCGATATTTTTGAGGAGGTAATAAAACTACTTGCTGGAACGCTTCATGCGAATTGATAATGTCTTACGCAATGCGTAGGAAATCTATTGTCGATAAGTTATGCGTTGCGGTTTTCGCAGCCACCAAACTCAAATTATACCAACTGCTTGACTCGGTACAAATCGCCTTAATTAGTGGTAGCGTTCCTGAATACAAAACAAACAATTAAAACCGACAGAAGGAACTTACCCACCAACCATCCGTAAATAAACTCTTATCACTGATTGTTGTTGCTAAGCTTAATTAAGGCCAGTCTTACACAAATCAACCACATATCAGTTGAAAAAAATACACTTTCCTCCAGGCTATCGATTGTTCTATTGTACGATATGGATGAATTAATAATACTTACTGTTAGATGATTAATGAAGGTTTCTCTCTTTCTCTACATACATATTATACATATTACGCAAAAATTAAAGAGGAAAAATCAAGTCTTAATGCCACTCCTGCTGTTTTGAATACAATTATTTTATAGCGTTTGCAAATATTCACATAAAATCTCTGGGATAATAATTAAAATAAATGAGCATTAAAATTAAAGCAATTCATTGGAAGTACATTTTATTTCCATTATTTCGAAATAAATGTTTCAATGGTCACAATAAAATGATCCCCTACTTGAATTTTTAATAACAGCATTAAGTTTGAAAAATAAAAACAAAACCAAAATTTACACTTTTCTGTTTCCTGGCATCAGTGACTTTTGATCTTTTCGATTATCATAATTAAACATTTCAAAATACCAAATCAATTTTGCAATTGCTTTTCATTTCTGGACTTCATACTTCACAATAATCTAAAAATTACAAAAACAAACAATATAAATAAATAATAAACAAAAGTACATACATTTATATTTGAAACAGCCTTTATTGTTTTAATTATTAACGCTTTCAGTTTTTCAGTGACACGATGAGGTATATGGTTGTAATTAATTTTAACGTTAAATGAAAAATTTCCTAATTAACGTTGTGTAATAATAAATTGCGTCTAATAAATTATTCTTTTACTTGACTAGAGCTACAATTACTGTGGACTGAGTTCATTATAAGAGAAAATAAGACAGTGGTTTCTTATTTATTTGTTTGTAATGACCATTTTTCAAGTTCTTAAAGTTAGTTGGAATATTTTTTGAAATTTTTATGTGTATCAAATCGCGTTTTTGAATTATGTTCGCATCCAGTTTCAACAAGACCCTTTGCATTCCAACTTCCAACAATAGCAATTCAAAATCTATTTATGTATTTATATTCATGAACATTATTCCTATTGTGTATTCCCAGTAACTGACAAAGCAGTATTCAAAAATTATGACACCGCCCCTGTAAAAAGCATATATCCTTTGTTTGTTTCTTTGTTGGTTTGTTTCGACGAAATCTGGATTTATAACCGTTGGTCAAATTTATATGCCATAACCCAAAGCTCCAATACATCAGAATAAGGTGACAGAATAAGATTTCCTGCTTTCAGAAACGAAACTAATTTGGAATATAGCAAACGACTTTCAACTTGATTTAATTTCCTCAGCAATCTGTTACGACAGAGACAACGGTTTCAATGAAAAAATGTAACGCTGAAGAGCTATAAATCAACGAGATGAAATCATTGAGCTGGCGAGAATTTCGGCAACCTCCCATATTTTTATTGCGCACGCTGATGAATGACTGCTTTTAAAAACAAGGGAAATATTCGAAAAATCAAATTTTTATGAGCCAACCGAAAAAAGAACAAATGCTTTATACATTTATGATAGTGATGGAATTTCAATTTTATCATCATTATGATTATTTTACTCAAAATGAAAAACCCCAAAATTGACCCCTGCTTTAGATAACAGTTCTGGGTGTGAAATATTCAACCCTTGCTAGTTAGTATAGCGTAAACATCGTCATTTGAACCACAGCAAATGTCACATTTAACCCCAACTTAATTAATATCATTATGGCCAGTTCAGAGATAAGGACTATTTGTAGCAACCTTCTTTGGGGTATCTAAAAAGCGATAATGCCACCCTGGTTGTATATACATTAATGGCTCGTAAATAAGGAAGAGGAAAGACAGTGGCTCTTAATTACTCATTTATAAATGAACAATTAACCATCCTGCAGACTGAAAGAATAACTAACTAAAATAAATCCTTTCTCTTGTCGGTTTTTAAAAACTAATCAAAAAATTCTTTATAAAATATTAAATCACAAGTCTCCGATTTTCAGTATTAACACTCCTAATTAAAAATCAGAAATTTTCTATGTTACTAAATATTACAATGCAAACACATTTTTGCCGTTTCAATCAAAGCGCAACAGTTGAATTTATGAGGCTCGATAAGAAACGAGTTTCCTTCTGAGGGTTTCACAATGCAGGTAGGATCAATGTCCAACTTTGAAAAGTTGTGTCAATAATTTACTCATCTTGAATATTGCGAGAATTAGTGAATGCAATAGCTTTCCTCCAGGGTCTTGACATATCAACAATCATTTCTGTGATTCCCCAAACGGATTAAAGCTCGACTGATCTCAAGATAATTGGAGCCTTTACATGTGTTACAATTACGAGATATTGCATTTCTGCAGACACCAACCATACATTATTTAATCACAATGCATATGCATTAATTTGTCTTAAATGGCAGATTGTTGCACTAGAGCAGTAAATTGTTATCTTTCGCTGTCAGTACAATGGACATAACTCCATTTCCTCTCCAATTTTTATAAAGTAAAATGAAAGTCGATCAAATTAATTAATTCAAATTTAGATTTCGAATTGGCAGTGAGCAATTTACTTTCCCAGGAGTAAAATTACAGTAATATTTTTATTAAAGAAAAAATGTTTTGCAACTTTGTGAGTAGTTTTACACCTAAAAGTATCCACGCTCCTAGTGAATTTATCGAGCGAGAAACATTACCGTAACAGTTCCATTATTTCAATAAATTTGCAGCTTATCTGCGCGTGATTATTTTCTGTTTACATTCCGATTTCCCTGAAACTTAACATTTTTCAACTTTTAAAATCCCTAAAGAGAAATTCAACTTTATCCGTTTCAAAATCAGCCTTACTGTTTACTACAGCCATGTTATGTTTATAATGGTATTTTTTATCACTTCCGCTTGCCAAACTATCAAATAAATTAGAAATATTTAACTGTGGCAAATATTTGTTATTTGAATGATGTGTTAAACTATGTATATGAAAAGAAAGAGCTTTATCTACGATATATCTGTTTGGTCATTAATTTTGTTGAATAAAAACAGCAAAACACCGATTTCAGTTTAATCGACATATTATGTTATCAGAAATTTTCTTTTTACTGCATTTTGAAAGATATTACATAATAAAAAAATCTTAGAGGAGACTGGCATTGTTTCAGTTACCTGAATCTGAATCCAAAATGTGATTAATTACATTTTAGACAATTTCTAATGGCTTGAAACAGAGTCTTTTATTTTCAACACGAAAAATCAATTAGAAATGTCTCGAAAGTTTCTTTCAGAAGACTAATGATACTACGGCACAATATTTCTAATTTTTCTTCAGTTCAATCTACGTGAGAATAGACTTTTAATTAGCTCTAACTCATTAAATTGTGTGACTTAAAAAGGGACTCGTCTTTGAAGTACGGTAAAAATAACATTTTAATGTTTAAACGACAGTATCATTCTGCCAAACCAAAATACTCCAAACTAATAAAAATGAGTTCGATGTAAGATTGATTAGAAGTTATTTTAAGTCCTAGACCGCATATTTGTTTTTTATGAAGTTCACAAATGGAAATGTCAACGGTCAGGCACCTTCAGATTAGATATGACCCTTTGTCCCATCAATCTTAACCGGTTTTTGTGTAAAACTAGCAACGCAAATTTCAATATAATGGAATCCACCCAGCTTGCAATAAATCGTTTTAAATGAATCTGCAATCTGTTGTCCTTAATTAGTTTGATGAAAACAAATCCCGGCTTCAAAAAATAACAATCCCTTTCGAATAATTTGTGTGCAGCTAAACAGACATGCATAAAACATGTAGCAGGAGTTTTTCTGCGAAATAAATAAATTCTGCTGAAAGAGCAGTTGCGTGCGTGAATCGCTTTATAGCACCCCATCTTTTCTGCTGAGGTAATAATTCCAGATACTAATAAGAAAACTCAACCCTTCATGTGAAAAAATCAGATACTGATGCTTTTTAAACGCTCCATTGAACATGAAAATATCAAATTCGAGCAATTATAAACTTGTTTGCTTCACCATTAGAAACAATACATTGCTGGATTGTCTCGACCCAATTTTATCAATTATTCGTAAGTTTTTTTTTTTTTTTGATACAATAATTACGTCAACGTTATCGAATATCAAAACATATTTACGTACAAACAACTTGCTCATACTTAAAAAATCTCAGACTGATTAAAATATTGCTTCCTGGATTTGAAGGCTTGTATAGGAAAAACTTTATGTCTAAAACATAGAGTGTGTTAGACCATTCCATTCGATATTAAACTTTTAGGAGAAAAAAGTTGCTAAACTCACGAAGCAGGTTTTTAGGGCAAAAACTCCTATTGCTTCAAATGGAGCTTCATTCCTTTTAATTGTGCTTTAATTAAAATTAATTAAACAAATTGATTTCGTAATTAAAGGTAAGTACTAAATATGTAACTTGGTTTTTATTCAAGTAGAAACAGCATGGAAAGCTTGAAAACATCAAAGGAATGAGAAGACTACAAAGAATCGACTCGTGTAGCTCAAAGCTCATAAAAGTATCGAACCTTAGAAAGGTGTAACCTAAAATATACGTATCATTCCTATCACTTTTTTGTTTAATAGATCAGCTGGCTAACAGGACTACAGTGCGTAATAATAAATATCAAGCTTCAAAGATTTTAAATGGGATTTTTTTCACACAATCTGAAGTTGATTTTATATTTTTAATTAATTTTTAGATTAAAAAATATACAAAATAATTACAAACATTTTCATACAATTTGAAAAAACACTTCCATCTTGGCCCAAAATTCTGTATTTCAAGTTTCAAGTGAGTGTCAAAGCAATATTCTGAATTTGAAAACTATTTGTATAGTATGTGATTTAATATGTTAATGAATGCTTTGGTGGTCCCATTCGAATTGCCCTAAAATAGCTTCATTATTGTGGTAGAAAATGCGACTTCCGTCTTAATTTTGCGTTGCAGAATTATCGAAGTTGTTATAAAATTGATAAGTCACAATCGATAGTTCGCGGAAAAATTAGGAAAAATCATACAAAATAATTACAAACATTTTCATACAATTTGAAAAAACACTTCCATCTTAGCTCAAAATTCTGTATTTCAAGTTTCAAGTGAGTGTCAAAACAATATTCTGAATTTGAAAACTATTTGTATAGTATGTGATTTAATATGTGAATTATTGCATTGGTGGTCCCATTCGAATTGCCGTAAAATAGCTTCATTATTGTGGTAAAAAATGCGACTTCCGTCTTAATTTTGCGTTGCAGAATTATTGAAGTTGTTATAAAATTGATAAGTCACAATCGATAGTTCGCGGAAAAATTAGCAATTATTAAGTATAAATAATGATTGTCATTCTTTTCCATCATCAAGGATACTAGAACATTCCGGTAAATTACGGAGTAATGATTTACTTTTTTAAATTTTACGTCCATGCATGTTTCAATCAATACGGGATTTCTATATTTTGTTTGAACTGCGTGATATGAACTACGGTCCTGTTTATGAGCACTCAAACAGGCAAACAAAACCTGTTGCAGGCACGCCAACTTGCTCCTGAATATTTAGCAACACACGATACCGTCGTTTTGAACACCTGTGGCAACTTACGTCAATTATGTATTCAAATCACATCTACGGATTATGTTATCAATAATTGCAATCGAGTGCCCGACATTCATATTTTTCCGATTTGAAAAGAATCGTGTGCTTTATCTTGATGTTTGTAAAAATATTTTTGACCTTCTTGAGCAAAGTCCAAGATTTATCGTTTTGCAGACCATTGTTTATTTATTTCTTGTAACGCGGGGTCAAACTGTGGCGGATCTATTAATAAACGCTCTTTTGTTTCGGGTAATTTTCCAGGATTTTCTTAACATATTGTCCAAGGTGTCCAGAGGTAGCGTCCAGGAGAAGCTCCAGTGGGTGTTCGGATTGTATGATTTGAATGGTGATGGGCTCATCACCAAAACTGAGATGGTGGACGTTGTTTCGAGCATTTATGAAATGCTAGGGAGAGCGACGCATCCAAGTGTTAACGAAACCTCAGCTAAGGAACACGTAGAAAAAATATTTCATGTAAGTGATAAGTCGTACAAAAAGCGCTCAAAGCGACTTTTTATTTTCTTTCCAGCTAATAGACACGAATAAGGATGGCGTCGTCACCATCGAAGAATTGGTGCAGTGGTGCTCTAGAGATGAACATGTTCTTAAATCTTTAGAAACTTTAGACACTGTATTGTGATCGTATGTGTTGTCCATTCTATATTTTGAAAGTCAACCCCGGATTTCCTCGAACAGCCTGTACATATATTAATGTTAAAAATACTCAACCTATCTCATTATACATCTCATTACGTACCTAATTTGTTACTGTAGTTGTAAACTTTACAACTTTATACGCCAAATTTTAATATTGTTGTGCTAAATTGTAATTAATAGAAAAAAGTAGAGTAAACCTGCACGAAAACTGTACATAAGAAAAGCTAACGTGGCTAATTTTGGGGCCATTTATATTTAGTGGTTGTAGTTACTTAGAAAAGACTATTTTGTGCTAATACGAAATTTTGGTGTTTTATTGTTACCTAAAACATGATTTTGGTGTTTCTACTGTAAGCATCAGTATTAAATCCGAATAGCGTGCTCACATTTATTTAAATAACATTATACATTAAATGTAAATAAAATCTTCTTCTTCGCTAACGACCGCAGCACAAAAATCGTTCGTACAAGAACACCACTTGGAATTATGCGGCTTTATCAGTTTTTTACCTAAATTAGTTTTATAAACCTAACGTTACTCAATTGTTATAAGTTTGACTTGAAATTCTAAAATTTTAGAACTGTTACTTAGAAAAATGCATGTGTTATATTCTTGTAAGGGTTTGACCCGCCAAAGTTCGTCAATATTGTGAATATTTCATAAAATTTACAGAAACTTATTGTGATAGCATATTTATTATAAGTAATTAAGTACATTTACTGTCACCTAAATTTAATGATGTTACTAAGAACAATAAATATTAAATAAGTGTCAGTGTCATAATAAAGCACCTATTATTCTATTTACTCGCCCCAGCGCCATCTCTGATACCGCCCACACTTACCTTAGAGAAAATCATAAAATGGCTTATCAGCTTATCACCAAATACAAACAATTGCAACAAACCGCCGCACTATCTCTTTATCTAATCAGAATTCGTCAGTTTTGATTATAACAGTGAAATGTAGGTGGGTGGTAACAAAATGCAATTTTTTTCGTATATTTTTTTCTATATTTTACTACCAAAAACATTAAGCAAACAAATCGAAATTAAGTGTCCGCAACATTGTAAATGCGATACTTTCGAAACTTTAAGACGCGCCACTTGCACAAACGGAAATTTAGCAGGAATAGAGTCAAATATACCGACACAAACGCAAATTCTAGACCTATCCTATAATAGAATAAGTTGGCTTAAGAAAAATGTGTTTAAGGTAATTATATTCCTTTTTTTCTGTTTAGTTACTCTAAATTATCTTTGAAGGAGGAAAAACTCACAAATCTAAAATTACTAAACCTGTCTCATAATATAGTGGGTCACATTGAAATGAAAGCTTTCAAAGGACTGAGTGACTTAAAGACATTAGATTTATCGTACAATAGTGTACAATACATAACCCCAGCCTGGTTTAGGGATATGACAGCTTTAGAAGAATTGTATTTAAGAGGAAACAGCTTTAGTATACTCAACAGTGGCCCAATTTTCGCCTCAAAGTCACTTAAAGTAAGTCACTCAGTTTTAGACATGACAATACACATTTTTTTGCTTTCAGCGACTAGACTTGAGCCTGTGCCGCATATCTTACATAAGTCCGGATTCATTTAGTCAAATCACATATCTGGAAATCTTGGACGTGTCTGAGAATTATTTGATCCACCTCTATATCGCGACATTTGAGCCTTTGCGGAATTTGCAAATCCTTAATGCTGACAACAATTCCTTGGCCTGTGATGGTGTCACGAGAAATTTGGCGAAATATTGCACCCAGAAAGGAATAAGGTACACAGATCCATGCACATCGAAAGTTGTCGACTCGGAGAAGTTTCAAAGAATGGTTAATTTAGCCGAACCGGAAGACGAAAAAAATTCATGGATTTATGACGATGGTCAGGAGATACAAAATGACAATCAAACAACAACAAACGAGACTTGCAATAACGTTCCTGCTGATAAGAAAAGCCTGTTACAGGAAATCGTCGACTTGTCACCAGTGTTATCAATTTTGTTTCCATTTATTTATGGAATTGCTGTTGGTGTTTTGATATCATACATACTCAGTGTTTTTTCCCGGAAAAAGAAGGAATCAGAAGAATCCACTTACGTTAGTTATGACTACGGCGATGAGAATTTGCGAAGAAGTGGTACGATTAGTCGGATACACAGTCGACTTAGTCGAGGTGTTGGAACAGAAGAGCGGCAAAATTTACCCCTGCGCGAATGGAATTTATCTGAGTCAACTCCAGTTCTGTTTAGGAAAAACCAAGCAAACTTTTAATCTCTCTAGCCTGCTGTAAATAAAACTGTGATACTTCTCAAAATACTTTTATTTATCACTGATTATGTACAAAGTGGAATGAATAAAATCAAATAAAACGTAATAATTTATAGTGTAATATATACTATATTGCACTTATGAGTATGTCAAACATTAAAAAAATTATTGGCACATAAAAATCAAGCCAAATTGGCATTGGGTAGCAATTCCCTTATATTCATGTATTCCGTATCAGATGAAAAAAACTCCAGCAACTCCTTGAAAGTCGGTCTATTTTCAGCTTCGTACTCCCAACACTTCCTCATAATTTCATAAATTCGGTCAGGGCAGGCTTCAGGTTGTTTCAACCTTTCTCCATCTTCGATAATTTTGATAGCCTGGAAAAACATTAGAACTGTGCACAATTTTGTCATTTAAACTTACATCAGACCCTTTTAATTCGCCATAAGGCACGTCACCGAAACTATACATTTCCCAGATGGTTACACCAAAACTCCAAACATCACTTTTATGGGAAAACTGCCCGTAGTTATAAGATTCAGGGGCGTACCACTTCAGTGGCCATTTTCCGCCTTCCAAAGCTCTAAAAAAATCTCAAAATCGGGGGATTAAAAAAACTTGAAACTGACCTGTAATATTCATGATCAGTGCCCAAAGCTCTAGATAAACCAAAATCGCTAATTTTTGCCTGATGTTGGGAGGCTAGAAGGATATTCCTTGCGGCCAAATCCCTATGAATAAATCTTTGTTCTTCTAAATAATTCATCCCTGATAAAGCAATGATAGATTAGTCGCCGATTAGGTCATTAATTTGATACTTACTAAATTCCCAAAATTGCATTAATCATAATTACTATTATTAATTACATGGGATTTGAAATCATTGAAAAAAACTTACCGCAAGCTATCTGAGCGGCCCAAATCTTGAATTCATAGTTTGGGTTAATACGGTCCTTATTTATTATAATATAATTTAACATTGATCCTAGTGCAACTAGTTCTTGCACCATCAACAGAGGGCGTCCTTTCGAAAGCCCAATTAATTTAACGACACAGTGGTGATTTAATTTCATCATAACGTGAGCTTCTTTTAAAATAGCATTACTTGTTTCGATTTGTTCATGTCTGACTGTTTTTATAGCAACGTTGATTTCTTCTCCGTTTCTCTTTATATAAGTACCTTTATACACCGAACCGAACTCGCCTTCCCCAATAACATTACCCATTTTTAACCTTTCCAACGGTATATAGTCTTCTTCGTTGTCATTCGTTGTATAATTATTGTTATTCGAAAAATTTGTTGTAAAATGGATATTTTGAAATTGACTAGGAAAACATTTAAGCGACTGAGATTCGGTTAAATTTATTATTTCTTGTTGGGGTTTAAGGTTTTTCTTCTTTTGTCTCGGTATTGTAGTACACTAAAACAACCATTAGTGGAGCTCTACAACAAGATATTACAACTTACTTCAGGAACCGGGGGCTTAGGTTTAGGAGGTACAGGAGTTTGTAACACTGTTGGCAAACCGTCAGGAATAAAACTATAATATTCAATGATATGCTCAAGGGATTCTAAGTAGGGCCCATTGTCAATAAATAAATAGTCATCCTAAAAAAATTACTTAATTAAGTGAGAAATCTTGTTTGTCATCGCTATGTAAGAAGCAAGTTACCATAATAGTCCAGTTTCTTTGTTACATAAAAATCACTTGCCTGTTTTCTGATGATGTAATTATAAAACAATGATTCGTTTATAAGAGTCAGGACACGTTCTTTGTTCCGATCGCTCCATCTGACTAAAAACGTGCCATCTTTCGTACTAAATTGTTTAATGGTAGTTTCAGCTTCATGTCGGTCTAAAGTCCCATGATACCAAAAACTCCTATGCGTTTTTGGTGCTGGACATTGGTAGTTTTCTAAAATTTCGGCACATTCTATAAAACCATTTTTCCTAGCGAGATGCGATGGCAATTGATTGTCCTTATCTCTAGGATTGACTGGAGCATTTAAGCTTAATAATTCTTTGACCACTTCTTTGTGGCCCCGACTGGCAGCTTCATGTAGAGGAACAGCTCCAGTTTCGGTGTTCCTTGATTGGATATTAGCGTTGGCAACTTGAACCAAGAGTCTTACAGTACTTGGAAAATTGTTTTGGCAAGCATACTAGAATGTTTTTGTTACCGTAATGTGAATATTACTAAATGAATCTTACATGAAGAGGAGTATATCCGGCAGTGTCTCGTAAATTAACGCTAGCACCGTAATCTATAAGTTTTCTAAGGATGTCGTCCTTGCCATTCATGCTGGCTAAATGCACAGCCGTTTGTCCGTACTGATTCTTAGCTTCGTGTCTACTATAACCAGGCTTTAGGATTTCAGAAACGATTTTGTAATTTCCTTCTCTTGTAGCCCGATGTAATAAATTGTTCATACGGCCGTATCTACGTGAGTAATCAGGAGGTGCTTCCCCTTTAACAGGAACAGTCAACGACAAACCCTCTGAGAGAATTCCCTTTGTGTTTACATAGTGCTCTATCAAACTCTCAAGGCCGTGGATTTTAGTATTTTCATCTAACCCAAGCAAAAGTTTGCCCTCATTCTCTATAAGTACTAAACAACCTTACCTATTGAAAAAAACGCATCTTCAACGTGTCTACGGATTTGAAAATGACTAACATCATTGTTGTGAAGAACTGATAGCACAAAATCGCCCGTTGAGGAATTACTCTCACGCACTAAAAAACTCCCATCGGGACGTCCCTCTATAAGGAAATTTCATTCCGAAAATAGACAATCGCCCTCAGAGAATGTCTCAAAGACTTACCTTCTTTTAACAGGTTTTCAGCAGCCTCCCGTGACAATTTTCCGTGATACCAAAGAATGTCCTCATCTGTGCACATTTTTACAACTGGCGATTAGACCTGACATTCAATGGGACACTTATTTCCTGCTGAGTCAAGTACAGGTGAAAACAACACTCAGAAAATCATTTTACTACTTCGTCAATAATATTATTGTTAACTATTACAGGAAAAATGTCAAATTAATTGTGACTCACGTGCGTGCGCACAGCGCACATGTTTTACAACTGACAAGTGCAACTTTCCATAATACGCAACTTCCATACAAAACTACTATTCATAACACAAAATCTGTGTCTTTTTATTATATTTTCTATTAATGGATTACAATGATACAAGAATGCTCATTATTATTTTAATTGTATTTCACGTATTTATATAAAAGTGGAAAATCTAAACCTGCTGGATTTCATAAATCCTGAAAGCAGTGGCGTGGAATTAAACTTTAATTTAAAAATGCCAAATTAAAAAAAATGAAATTTTCATTTGCTCAATTAAAGTAGACCAAAAATAATTGAGACACCCATAAATTCTTAACATAGTAAAACTTACAAAAGTCAAAAAGTTACTTAAAGCACAATTTTATCTAAGTCATACCATTAAATGTTTTTTGTATTATTTAAACAATGCGCTAGTGTCAAACTATAAATTAAATACCTAAAAATAAAAAAAGTCCAAGATTTAATTAGTATTTTCATTTTTAGGACCCGGAAGTGTAAAAATAATTTTATAGTTTGTTGTTACTATTTTTAATAATTAACTTAATTCTTGCAATTTGCAATTTAATGTCTATTTGCTCAAATCGTAATTAAATCTCGTGCTATTTTAATCGTCACACTGACAACGTCGCAAGGTAAAATAGGTCACAACTCAAGACGAGTATTTGATTTCTGTGTAAAACAAAAATCCATCTAACAACAGGACAAATTTAGAGCCAAAACACTCCACCATTGCCACTATTTCATATAGAAAAAACATTACGTATATACGTCGTGCCATTTTAATCGCCATTCTGCCACTCAAGTCAAAAATTTGTAACCTACTTCTTAAAAAACAGTTTCGACGTTGTGGCGATTAAAACGGCACGAAGTGTATATACCTAGATACGAGTAGATAGTGTATGACCTTTTGAAATTAATCAAGACTGGAAAATTTTCTATCGACGTTTTATAATTTTCTTCTAATTAGTAGCATTTAGTAAAATTTGCAAAATGTGTCACAAAAACGAAAAAATGTGACCTTTAGTTTAAAACAAATCATGTTAATTTTGTAATAAACTGCGTTGTAAACAATGAATGTAAGGTATGAATATACGCATCGGAATGTGTTAAAAATGATAAAATTTCTGCTTGTCATAAACCGAAGATCCCGTGAATTCGGCTGTTTGCTCCGCCACTGGTCGAAGTGACCCTTTTTAGGTCGGGGTGGGGCGAGGGACAAATATAAACAATATCAACAGGAAATTCGAAAATAAAAATACGAAACAAATGGCAAATGAATGATTTTGTCATTAGCAATGATTGCAAAGGTCGTCTGCTGTCATTATAAATACTGGAATTGAATTGTTCTAGATTTGATTGTTTTGTGTTCGTGTCAGGGCCGTAATTCCATACACTGGAGCGGATTCATTTATGTTAAAATCTGTCTGGAATTAATGGTAAGTGATAAGTTATTTCGCGTTAATGTAGATAATGTAGATAATAAGTTTGTTGATCTTTGGATGAACCTTGTCAGGTTTGGGTGAATTACACCTATTAGGTTGCAAAAATTCGTCCTATTTTTAACCTGCATATTGAGCGGTGGTCAGAGTTAAAACTGTGACAAAAGTCACCGATCACGACTTGGACAGTGAATAACGAGAAAAATCGGGCGATAAGCGAGTTTGCCGATTTTACGTAAAGTGTCTATCACATGGTAACAAACGAAAGGATAGGAATTAATCTGGGACTTGTTTTTCTTTGTCTTTCGATAAAACATGACCCCTGTGAAGATAAATGACCCCAAGAGCCCGGTTTATATAGAACGGTAAAGTCAGCAGCAGTTTCAGTTGAGTGCTTTAAGCCCAGTCAACCTAACCTCAATCGTGTGTGTGTTAACCCCCCGTTGCTTTGATTTAGGAGTGCAAATCTGAGTAATTCGCCCCTAACCGCTCATCAATTTTTTTTTCTTCATCCTGGCAGCAAAGGGAGGAATGCTGAGTACTACTAAAGATTGTCTTGGTCTTCGAGTTCGTCTCAACGCCTTGCACCAAACCTGGAAGTGGCTGCACCAAACCATCACCGTCCACGAGTACCTCATCGCCCTGACAGCGTCCCATAAAAACGTTTTTATGCGATACGAAGCAACCTGTTAGAGACATTCAGGGCACAACATTTAAACCGCGTCCCAAAATGGCACTAGTGCAACGCAAATTCGTTATGAGTGCGATTCTCTCGCGTTTCGCTCGCGCTTATTCCACCCCAGTCCAAGAAAAAGACATTAAAAAATCAGTATTTATCTCGCAATCCAAAGACATTTTCACTAATTTAGCCCTCGAGGATTGGTTGTACCGAAATTTCGATTTTACCAACCACCATGTCTTAATGCTCTGGCAAAACGACCCCTGCGTCGTTATCGGCAGACACCAAAACCCATGGCTTGAAGCCAACGTTCCAAGTCTCAGTTCTATCACCGAACAAGGGGTCCCACTCGCTAGACGCAACAGCGGCGGAGGCACGGTCTTCCACGACCAAGGCAACCTCAATATGACCTTCTTCACCTCCAGGAATCACTACAACAGGAAGTACAACCTTGAAGTCATCACCAGAGCCCTTTTCAGGGAGTACGGACTCAAACTACAGATCAGTCCCAGAGATGACCTTACTTTACGCAATTGCAAAGTATCCTTTGGAAAACCGTGATAACGAGACCACTTAAAACTGGTTAACATAAATTGATAAATGAATTCATAAAAACACTTGCACAACGCAACATTTACATACGGCCATTCAGTGCTAATGCGCCTTTTGACCCCCCTTGTCATTTTTTATTACATAACAATTTATTTTAAAATACTGCCACACATGGCAATTGTCTGCTAAACACGAATTTAATTATAATTTCGTAAAACTCAACTGTTTACATATCGTTTGATAAACATTACACAAAAAACTGAATACTTTGACAAATTATACAAAATCATTTTTGTGAAATTAATCATTTTGACGCATTGCAAAACATTTTGTTAGCTTTAAATTTTTTAATTCGAGAACTTTTTCAACTTGAAGTCTGCATGCTTCTCAATTTGTGCGCCACTTTTAAGCGTATATTGATTCCTGATCAAACAACATTAAGTCTTAGAAAAAAAATTCTAAATTACTTTTTCAATATTAGGGTTGAGATAGTTTTTTATTTTTTAGATGTCATTTTACATAATCAAAAGAGTTATTAAATAATAACCAAGTATACCAAATTAGAAAAAAAACATTTTCAGGATAAGAAAAAAAGTGTAATTTGAGATCGGATTTTTTCAAAAAATTCTTTTGGGTGTATTTCCTTGACTAGTCAGGTTTCCGGCACTGCGGCGAAATTGGGGTGTCCTAGCGCCTACCACCACTGCACCCTTTTGGTGAACACCAACAAGGTGCACCTGAGTGAGGCCCTGCAGCGCTTGGACGTGGGCATCGAAACGAACGCAACAAAATCCACCAAATCGAAGATCCTCAACTTGTGTGAGGAAAACCCGAAGATCAAGGTTCCGGCTTTGTACAAAGTGATGGGTTGGGAGTACTTGCGCACCCATGCTTTATCGGTCAAAGACGGCGGGATGGAGTTGGCCAACCAGCAAAAGGGCTTCCAAATGGTGAACCCCACCGAGAAGTGGTTCCCAGGTTTGTAGTTGAGTGGTTGGTGAGGGTCGGTTTTGAATGGTCTGTTTAGGGATTGAGGAGATTCGGGACAATTTGCAAGGTTGGGAATGGCGTTTCGGGAAAACCCCAAAGTTTACAATCAGTCGCTCGTTTACGGTCCCGGAGCATTTGATAAGTCAGGATGTGCCGGATGATTTAAAGGTCACGATGGTGGTGGAGGGGGGTAAAATCAGCGATGTGAATTTGTATGTTCCACCCGGTTTGGTCGCAAACGGTTTCAGTGGTAATGTTAATGTTATAACTAATCTTATTGGGCACAAATTTTCTGAGGAAGCATTAGATAACCTGGAATGGTCTCTCGGGGCTCTTGTTAATGACAAAGATAAGTTTGTTACTGATTGTGTTAAGCAAGTTATGCAGTCGGTATGACAGAAAGATGATTAATTATCTCTTCTGGCCGAAATATGTTCCTAATATTTTCCTCAGCTAGTGCCATTTTTCTTTTAATTAAATTATCATCACATATTTTTAACTGGTAGATAATTGTGTTATTTTCTGATATTCGTTATATTTAGATTAAGTTCAAAACCGTTTCAACAACGGTCAACAAGAATTAATCATATCATTGTTAACTTACATTATTAATAATTGACTAATTTTTTTTTCGTTTCTTATTAGAATGGAGCGGATGCGGAGCCTGAATTTTGTAAATAAATTTAGTTAAGTATTTTCTTTAGTTAGCCAGCTTTTTCCTTATTTACTGCTTGTTTAATTTTTCTGCATTTTTGTGTTAAGATGTTGTGCCTTCAAATATGTAGATTTAATACTTTTAGTGATAATAATAAGTTATGTAATTATATCTTTGGATAATAAATGAACTTTTTGAAAGGTAACATGTTTGTCTTTTTCTTTAATTAAAACCAACTTTACATAAATCACTCGTTGGAACAAAAATCTAAAAAAAACTTGAAACGATGTTAAGAAAAATTTATTAAATATGAGAAAACTGGATTACTACAACATTTAAAATGTAAAAAAAGTAAACCAGAAACGAAACTTGTACAAAATAAACGATATTTAAAAAACTAATGTAGTTATTAACAACTGAATACTTAAAATAATATTAATAAGAAGGAGTGAATCTGACATGCAAATCAAATTCATTCTATCACGCTCAATTGCCGCAGAGGCCCTTTACAAAAATACAATGTCACTTCGAATCATAAATTTACATTGTAATGAATTGAAGTACACATATACATAAAACTCAACTTCTGTTCATATCAAAATGAAAACATTTTTTTTTATTATATTACAATGAGTTCCTTTTGTACAGTAGTAGATATATCTTTATTTACATAGTGACTACCTACTTTGATATTAACAAAAATTAACACTTTTATCAGTCTTAAATATAAATAATTATTCAAGCAAAGCCGAAGCCTTCAGAACACTCATGAATAGCCTTCAACAGGTACGAGCGCAACTTGTCATAAGTTTCGTACACGGGAAGATCCAGTTGATTGAAGCTGAAACAATCGAGCATCAGCAACGTCTTCTGTATGATACAAAACTGAAAACATACCAAGTATGTGCTGATGGTAACCTGTCAGTTGAACGATCGTCCCTATGAATTTGGAACTTTTGTACACCGTTCATTCCCTCAAGTGCTGCAAATCCTTGTAATGGAACCTTTGACGTCCCGGTCACAAACTGGAGGAACTTCGCCCGATCTGCTTGATCAAAGGACCTCAACGCGCGCCAGAACCATTGAATCTGAAAAATATTTTTAGCATTTGATTTTCAAAAATCCCTACAAACCTGAAGTGAATTTGCTTGGTATTTATGATACTCAGTGTTGGTTTTCAAATCGTCTATATCTACATTTGGTAATCCTGAAATAAGCAATTCAAGTTCTTGTTCATTAAATATAGAAATTAGGCGCATAGGAATAATGTCATAGAATCCGTCCAAGAATGCGTTCAGTCTGAAAAAATAGTATTACAAATTAATTAATGGCAACAAGGCATTGCATTACTGTTGTTTGATTGCTCCTGTCATTTTCATCTGACACGAGAGTCGTATATATTCCATTTTCGTCTCTTCAGTGACTGGGACATGTCGTCCATTAACAATTAAATCTCTAGTTTCAGTAACTCCAAACTCGTTAATTTCAGTGCTAAATGTTAAGTCAAGTCCTAAGTTATTAATATTGTTTTCCATTAAATAGACTAATCCTCTATAAAAACTGTAATCTTCACTTTCCATGTCTGTGTACTTCACCGGAATACCCAAAATGTGCTTGTAAAATGATCGTGTAAAATAACATTCAAGTAGTTTATTGTCATAGATAGCTTTAGCTACAAGAACAAAACGTCAATTTTTCTTTCATTAAACACGCGAAATTTCTTACCGATAACTCTCCCAACAAACTTATAATAGCAAAGATGATTAGGATTGTAATGGCTAGCTGAATTAATCATATAAGTGACTCTATCACCAGGTGAAACAGTAAACAAGGCATACATTGGATTAAAAATATCACGTGATATAATCACGTACCACTCTCTTAACAAACCACCAGCATCTTGCCCCTCTTCGTCTAAAAACCCCCATTAAATCAAAAACCTACACATATCACTTCACTTACCTTCAAAAACAATATAGAATCGATTTTTCCACTCTTCAGGTGTCCGTCTGTATAATTCCCTGAACGAATCTTCGAAAATATTACTTCTACGCACATGAACTGCCGTCTCTTCTCTTCGTATACCTTGATCCATCCTCTCCAACTCCGATCGGAAATACCTCCTTTTGATATCAAAATCAAGAATTCGTGTGTGATCCACCAACACAGCGAATGGTCCATCGGCCAAATGCGAAGTACTTTGTCTCAGTATCTGGTTCAAAACTCGTCGGTGTTTCTCAGCGAAACTGAGAAACTTCTGTTGTTCGGGAGGTACGGTTTTTGGGGTATTCTCAGCCGTATGCAGTTCGATTTCTGGATTAGCGAACTTATTTTCAGTTGAAGGTGTCGATGGCAGATCGCCGGACTCGGCGGTAGATGTAGTTATACGACTTTCGGGGGGTTGGGAGGAACTTGGCTCTGTGTCTTGCTCCTTCTTTGATGGACCCTGCTGGGGGGAATGAACGAGGAAGAAAGCCTCCACAGCGGGCTAGAAAAAAATCAACAAGTGATAAGTGTTGTCACACATTGCCGGTTTATGTAAATTACCTGCAATACAAGGACGGCATGATGATCTGGAGTATGCTCCAATTCGGAAAGGCACTGGCTTAATGTTTCCCAAAGACTATCAATGCTGCTTAGTTGTTCGCTTAAGGCAGGTATGTCGTAACACCATAAAGCGTCAGCTCTTTTTACGTTTTGTTTGAAGGAGTTGCGTATTTGTACAATGACGCGTAATACTCTCAAGAAAAATAGTTGACTTGAAGATTTTGAAGTTAAAGGCACCATGGAAGGTAATTGGAGCTCGCATGAAGCCTTTAGTTTGGTAGATGCGGTGATAATCACAGTTTCTTTGGTAAACCTGTCTGCAATTGTTCCTTTTGACGTTGAAGGACCAAGGTCATCGTTATTTGTAACTTTGCGTTTCTGGGCATTGTATTCTTTCAACTCAATTAACATGTTGTTGATTTGTTCACGCACTATTTCTCCGATGCGCACAGCGCCACTTAACAACAAATTTAAGATCTGCAAAAATCCTATTATTAAACAGAAACAAAACATAAAGGGCCTACTTACCATATAGCTCATTTCAAGTGTAGAACTCGCTAGATTTAGAAGCAAATTAGTAATAAATTCGAGCCCTTCTTCGGAACAATTTTTGTAAGTGATTACGTTAACAGCAAGATGTAGTGCATTTGTAGGTGTAATATTTTCAACTTTTTGAAGTTTATTTTTCGAAGCCTTGATTGGAACGCTAGGAGGTTTAGCTAATTCTGGCATACCTGAAGTTATCACAGATAGTAACCTCAATAAATTATCTGTGAGCTGCGTATTTCTATTCACAACCGGTGAAGACAACATATTTAGTAACTGACCAAATACCGACTGTTCAAAAGTAACAACTTTGTTATCGGGTTCAACCGCAGTATTACTGTTACTACTCTTAGGAATACTCTTTCCTTTCTTTGTACTCGCAGAATCCAATCGAAGCAAAATCTCCCAAAAATCACCGAACGATTCCGATTTTACTCGAACTGGTGACAAGTTGTTTTTATCTTCTCGGTCATCTCGAATACACTTGATGGGGAGCAAGCATGAAGGGAAAGCTTTAGCTAACGAAGTGAATAAATCAAGGGCATTTCTACAGACAATTGGAGCAGCCTGAGGGTGGATACTGATGCTTGAAGAAGCCGATCTATCGCTTCTTTTACCAGTGTTAGATCTATTAATGATAAAAACATTTGCGGAACAACCAAGTGCTGCTTCCATTCGAATGTTTAACCAGTTTCCATTGTTTTGCAGCAATTTCGAATCGGTCATCAGTTTACTAGACAAAGGACCAGGTTTTGGCATTTTTCTTGTCGGTTTATTTAAACTCTCATCGGGTTTAACATGGACACTCTTATCAATAATCGACAGAAGTGCGTTAACAATCCATTCACGTGTCGGTGCGTGATAACACAAATTCCTGATAACTCGATGCAGTCTCAATTTGCCTAGATGTGGATCATCCGTAAACAGCAGTACCAGAAGACACGAAAGTCCCTCATGATCCAATAATTGTCTCCCTCGGATTTTCAAAGGCGGAGTTGGTGTAGACGAATTATTCATAAACTCTCTATTCCAGTGCGTCCATTGCGCTCGATGAAAATGTCCCGATGAATGATGTAAGGGCTGTTGTCTAGCCCTCGCCGAGTGTCGTATAATACTCGTTAAATTACTCTGCAAAATCCTCTCTTGTACCAATTGGCGATTTCTCGCTTCCCAATCACGGCGCAAAGTCTGCGCTTCGGCCGCCAGATCTGGTGGCAAAGCACTCATTTGTGAATCCTCCATGTCGGACAAGATCATCGTCCGCAATGACGGTTGCAAAGTCTCAAAGAACGCACCAGCATCAACCGGTTCATTCGGATTCGCTTGTGCTGCGGCTTGTCTCTGCTGTTCGAGTCTTTGTTGCGATAGAACCTCCTCTTGGAGTGAGGGAGGCAAAGCTGCCAAAAATTCAGGACTAACTTCCGTTGTGGCTCCAGCTGCAGTTTCGGTATTTTCGGCCCGTGCGGCGATACGTTGCTGAAGTCGCAAAATCCGATGTTGTTCCAACACTTCTTGACGCATATCTGGAGGAAGAGCTTCCAAAAACGAAGGGTCAACACCGTCTGGTATTTCTTCAGATTGGTCTGAACTCGGTCCAGGCTCACTATTGTTAATAGTAATCGCTTGTTGTTGAGGTATTGCGTTTAAAGACGATCCCAGAATCTCTTCAGATTCTTGAATTGAATTTGTTGTTGGAGTTTCTTCGGTTGGTATCGGATGGCGTTCGGAATTTGAGAGTGAATTGATTTGTTGACTAAGACTGTCTTCAAATATATCACCAACGGAACCGCAAGGCGGTCGGTTTCGGTTACAACAAAAGTTTTCGTCTTCATTGTCACGTGTTGAATTTTCTTCGTTATTTTCTTGATCTGCATGTTCGACTATGTCTGGAGGATGAAGTACGCTCGGTGGAAACATTTCTGTAAAACGTGGAGGTGGTGTGTAGGGTGACAATGTAGGAATTCCAAACGGATTGACAGATCTGCCGTTTCGGTCACCACTTTCATTATTTTCTTCGTTATTTTCTTGATCTGCATGTTCGACTATGTCTGGAGAGTGAAGCATGTTTGGTGGAAATATCTCCGGCAAACGGGAAGGTGGTACGTAGGGTGACAATGTCGGAATTCCAAATGGATTGACAGCTCTGCCGTTCCGATCACCATTTTCATTACTTTCTTCGTTATTTTCTTGATCTGCATGTTCGACTATGTCTGGAGGGTGTAGCACACTTGGTGGGAACATTTCCGTCAAACGTGAAGGTGGTGTATATGGTGACAATGTCGGAATTTCAAATGGATTGATAGATCTGCCATTTCGATCACCATTTTCATTGTTTTCTTCGTTATTTCTAACAGTATCAGATCTGATACTCGGACGTGAGTTTCGTCTAACTTGTTCCGTCCCATTGTCAAATCCGATAAATGGCGATGAGTCCATTCTATTATTAGCATCTGAACGATCATCATTTGACGTATCAGATGTTTCCAACGGTACGCCATCTATATCTTCATCAGTACCTACAAAGTAACATCCAACACTTCATCAAAATGAAAAAGTTCAACTTACCATCAGTTGCATTTGGTTCAGTCGAATCTTCAGCTGGTTTAATGTAATCATCCTCGAAGAATTTAAATCGTCTCAAAGTATCGTGCGATTTCCTTTTCTCGACAATTTCAACATTTCGTTGTTTTATCAAAATCGGTATCAATCTATTGCACACTTCCGTTGTAACATCATATACCGACTCGTAGTCTAAACATTTCGATTCAATGTTCCACCAATGTAAAACCGGTGAAATATGATTTAAAGTTGCAGCTAAACTCGGACCGAGAAGATAACCCGATGATTGGTCAACAAAATCAATTTGTTCTTCATGTGAAGGTAATAAACCGAAATTATCCATTACTACCAATCTTGCAGATTCACGCATTTCAGGAGGACCACCCAAAATACTATTAGCTGAAGCTAAAGTAACCTGCGGTTCGTGTGGTCCTAAAAGTCTTTGTAAAATGACTGGAGGGTTGGGATTTCGTGGATTGAACAAATATTGATAACGGCGAGCCCTAGTAACACGCTGGGTGCGTGTTGCTGTGCTTGTGTTATTTTCGCTTGTGTTACGAGATAGTAACAATGGATGGACTATAGGACCTGTGTGTTTCTACTTTAGTAAAATTTAAAAAACTAGAATATTTGACTTACCTGTATGATCACTACTATTGTTAATTTCATCGAATAAGGGCATGGGGAAGGCGGCATGGTCTCCCATTGGATAAGCAACCATTCGGGTCACTACTTCATTTTCAGATCCCGGATTGGTGTATTGAATCATCAAGACGTCATCATTGCGGTCCATGTAGGAAGCTAAACAGAGCTTTAATACCCTTACTATCATTACTAACCTAAAACTTACCTCGCCTTCTGTCACTACCATCTTCATCATCGTAATTTGTATCGTCAGCATCATCAATATTTTCATCGTCTCCTTCATTATCATCATTTTCTTCATCTTCGACTTGATCAGACGGATTCGAATCTGATTCACCCGAATCAGTACTCATTAATTCCTCAGTTGCATCTCTTTCATGTTCAAAAGTCAAATTACCATCTTCATCAATATCCATTGTATGATTTCTAGACGATGCAACATCGCTAAAACTTTGATTATTATCGTTCCCTTGCTCAAGTAACTGATCAATCATGTGCACTAAAACATTCTCATTCTCGTTCGCTTCGACTTCAATAGTTGACGTAACAACAGCTATATCATGTTCGGTATTTTCCGAATCTTCAATAACGACAGAATCATCAATCACGACTTCTCTTTGAGCGTTCGTCCCTTCGGTTGAAGTACCACTTTGAGTGCCAGCACTCTCATCAGTGGCCTGTTGATTCTTTCGACTTTTTTGCACATTAGCCGGGACCGGTTGATTGACAATTCTTGATAAGGCTTCAAGTGATTTCAAGCAAGCATTGACAGTGAACGGTGTGTTTGGTGATGACAAGTCGAGGAAATGTGGAACTCGGGCTAGATCATTGAAGAGCGATTTGCGAATCATCAATCGGACAATATTGTTCATTTGAGGTGTCGGTGGTTGCGATTTGACTCTAGCTTGCGACGATGGACAATTATCGATCATTATAGAGATAATCCCTGCGATTAATTGCACTTGACTGTGTTTTTCGGTTGATTCAGGCATCACCAAGCCTCGGAGAAGTGCAGCTCGGACTTCACTCACGAGAGTAAACTGAGCTTCAGGTGAGTGGTTCGAACTTGCGATTGCCGCAATCAACATACGACACATTGTCGAACAATCCGAATCGGACAAATTCTCAGTTTCTGGGAGAATTTTATCTAAGATAAACGCCAAAGCTGTGCAATCTTCTTTAACACATTCGGCAGATCCAGCCTTATATGTATACTCCGTAATAATTCTAGCAACAGGTCCGTATGACACCACTGCGTCACCCAAAATTTTCAAAATTACGGATTTTGGTAACATCATTTTTTTCTTCTTCTGTTCCGAATCGCTACGATTTTCAGAGTTAGCATCAGTCTGAGCCCGAGATGCTGGTGTTCCAGGGCCTGAATCGTCATTATCGCCAGTGACACTTTCAGTCGGTTTGCTACTACTAGTCTGAGGTGCACTTTGCGGTGAATTTTGTGGTTGGGTTTCATCGACAAGTTCAAGTGGTTTTAACAAAGCATTCAACAAGTCGCAAATTACTTCATTCGAAACAACTTCTTCCAATGGTGGCGCTCGGGTTCGAGTCGGCGGTTCGGTTTTAACCGGTATTCGCGAATCAACATCTTCCCGACTGACGTCTGTGTCGACTCGAAGGATGTTTTTGGCAACTTCGAAAAACATTTCTGGTGAACGAGTTACAGCGCCGCCTATCTGTCTAGTAAGATACAGTAATTCTTTGTAATAAGGTGGTATAGTCGACAGTGTTCGAGCTCTGATGATTTTTTCTATAGCATAAGATAATGTGTTGGGTTCTTCTAAGGCGTGTCGGATTAAAATCGTTGCTAAAATACCAAAACCGGCGAATTCTCTCACTTGTTTCATTTTAAGTAAACACTTGACGCCTCCTTCCTGAACAAAAATTTTAGCCAATTCAAAATCACGAGTCAATCGAATACAAATTTGTAAAATTGAGTGTAGAAGGTCTTTATCAATCGACATGTGCATAAGTTTCACACAAGCTCGTACAATTTTGGTTTCTTGCGCTTTGTCTAGGTTACGTACATATTGACATCTCTTGTCTTCCTTTTCGGTGAGTTCCGCTTGTAGAGATTCTTCCAAATTGATGATGAAAACATCAGAACAACTCGGCAATCCTGAATTAATGAGAGTCATACAAATTGGGCGGTTATTACCGCTTTCATCGTTCAGTTGCAGCATATTTGAGAAAGTTACAGTATAGCGTCTGCGGCCACAAATCACTCTAACACTTTGCTCGCCATTCCAATAGGCATCGTTAATTAACTTATTATTGCTATTTGAATAAGGCGTCCATTTACCCGTTTCTAAGTGGAACCAACGCCAGACCCGTGTCGTGCTCAAATGCATATTTCGTTTGCGATGAGTGCAAGTTGCAACTTTCGAAGCAGCATCGATTAGAAGAAATGAAGATGCTAACCATTTTGGTTCGATAAAGTTTTCGGAACGACTCATCACTTTCTCGGCCATACAAATTAACTTAATGAGAAGATTAATTAAATCAATTTTATGTATAGCCAAAGCACATGGAATTTTCATTTCAAAATAGGACGAAACCTCAAAGAATAAAATATACAAGTGTATGTAATTTGCTAAACGTGACGCACATGGCAATTCTGCGATGTCTTGCAATTCGGCTTCGGCTTGTTTTAGGGCGTAACAAACAGTTTTAGCACTCTCATAAATCTCTTTGACTAAAGTATCGAGAAGATTATCACGGAACGTGCGCCCGTTACGTTTCATTATAGTTACAAGTAACTCGCAAATTTTGTGAACGCATTCAGGAGTCGCGTCTAGTAGTTTGAGGCAGGCCTCCAGAGCGTGATTTGTAAATTCATCAATTAGACTTTCAGCTAATGGTTTTCCATCATCTTGAATTTGCCTCTTTTTAGATGCACTTGGTAAATTGTTTGATGCTCCGAGTGAAATAGCTATAGCTTGCATCATTTGGTCATCCTCGTCTGAATTCATGAACGATTGAGAAATACGGTACAGAGAAGGTGGATTTGTCAGTAAATAATCAGTTGCTTGTTCAACTGTCAATGTATTAAGTAAAGCATCAGTCACATGTTCGCGAGAGAAACCCATATCCATTAATTGTCTTAAACTCTCAGGATTTACTTCAGGTTCACGACTTGAATTCCCAGATGATGATTTAGGTCGACTTAGATCGGTAGACAAATTCTCCTCTGCTTTCAGTTTCTCCTTGATAATTTTTTCACCTCGCAGAATATGGCGCAAAATTGTTAGAATGTTCTCGGATAAGCGAGTACCGTAAGTGGCAATTGGAGCTTTATCCCACAACAACATAACAGCCTCAAATGCTAACTTATGAATCTGGATTAGGTATTTAAGCGGATCGAAATTATATCCCCGGTAGGTGGAACTTTGCGATGACCGATTTGATATTATATGAGGAGACTCAAGAATCGCTTTCGGGTTTACCATTTTTTCAAGTAACATCAACCACGCGTCCAGAAAGCCCGCAGTGCCTGAGGAAGTACCCCAGCATTGTTTGTGTATATTGTTTTTTTTTCAAAAACTTACCTTCAGGCAACGCCCCCTGCTCGAACGCCTTCTCAATGGGAATGGTCCCACCAGCGCTCAAAGCCCACCGAAACGTATTGAAGAAAGTTGCTTGGCCTCCTAAAGCAACAAACTTTTTCAACATTAGATGATAGGGATATCTCTTCTCATCAAACAACATAGGACTCGTAAAACCAACACTACAAATCAAGAATGTGATCCTTGATTTGAGTAGTGGACATGCTGGAAGCCTCTCATAATCTAAACCATCGGCTAACAAAACATTTAGAGCTGTGGCAACACTGCGTGCGTACGGTGTGGGTAAAGGAGGTGCAGCAATGATGTTTTGACCTCTCCGTTGGCGAATCGGCGAACCGACGCACAATTTTACAAGAAGACCGAACAATTCTGCTAAAGCTCGACCTAGTCTTGAAGAAGCGCCAAGTAACGGTTTAATGTACTTCAAACTTGTGCTTAAATTGAGTGTTACTGCTTCCTGGTCCACGTCCATGGAGATCGTGGGTGGATTGGTAGTCAAAGCTTCCATTGCTGAAGCTACGTTGACGGTGCTGTCACTTCCCGTGTTGCTACTTTCACACTGTAAAACAATTAAAATCAAACAAATTCAATACCATTGAAGAGCAAACCTTGTCAAAGAAAGCGTTCAATTTCTCGATATCCTCTCTTGTAAAATCCGATGGAATAAATTCTTCACTACAATACGCCAACAAGAGGGTACTTTCCCATACCAGAGAAGTGTACAAGTCTGCTAGTCCTTTAATGACCCTAAGTCCTTCTTCCGATCCCCAATTCTGGAGTGACAAATTCCGGATTTCGCTTTGACCTGTCCGACAAACATGCACCAACATGATAATGTATCCATGTGCCGCGCCCATTGCATGCAACAATGGCGTTACGCTAGCGTTATTAAACGCGTTTTCAACATTTGAGGCTCCGGCTAGTTCAAGTAACAGTTTGGGTCCACTTGGAACATCCAATTTCGTATACATTGGTTTCAATACTTCAAGAACTTCACTCAGTTGAGCTAAACCCTCTTTGAATAAATTCGTTTCATGTGCAAGATTTAGAATGCTTTTGCATACAGTTGCAACAGCTTGAGCTGGATTAGTAACAGGACAGTTTACTGGTAAGTTTGGTAAACCAAGAATTTTCAAAAGTGGGCGAAGACCGCCTTGTTGGACGAATTCACGACAGTGGTCGTCGGTGGAATTGTTACTAAGAATTGCATCAATAAATTTCATTGTGTTTAGGATGTAGTCAATGAGGGCTATTGGAGTTCGTTCACTGTTTTCTTGCTGGACTTGAGCGTCGTTTTGGGCGTTTTGAGACGATGTTGAAGCCTCCTCTTCATCTTCATCTTCTTCATCAGAAGAACCTAATATACAATAACTTTAGATAAGATTAGATAATTTGAAAAAACTACCTTCAGTGTTGGTTGCGGATCGTGTACTACTAGAGGGGGACACTTCGGACTTGCTGTGTGGTTTCCAGCAAATATACTTCGGATCTGTTCCTAAGTTGACTAACTCCTCGAGAAGATCAATAATTGCTTTAATTGCGTCGCTTTTAAGACTTGGCTGATGTCGCATCAACTCATCCATTGCGTTACCTAGATTACAAGCAGTATCAGCCATTGGTTCCGAGCTTCGCCTCCTTCTCATCGCCGGTAAGTAATCCGGTGATAGTAAAACACTAAAGGTTTTTTCAAATGGTTTCATTTTAATAAACTGTTGCAAGCCTCGATTGTTCAAACATAGAGCACTGAATACATTCGGTAGTGATCCTAGAACTTCACGAGTCGCTGGGATTTCCTTCACCAACAACGAATGCAAGACCACTTCAATTAAGCCATTATCCTGTAGGGCGGACAATAGAGACGGTTCTTGGTAAACATAAACAGTGACAACATCGGTGGCTAGGAGGAACAATGAAGGGCCGTAATATTCCGCATTTGCGATTATATTTTTCAGTGAATTTGGCAAAGTTCCTTCCATTAAATGTCGGATATTATCCGAAAAAGTCGAATCTTGTAATGCTTTCTTCAGAAAATTAAGCATCGATTTTAACAGAGCTGCTCTTTGGGGTAAACAAGTTTTTCCAACGTTTTCAGGGTGGTATTCAAGGTCGACTAGTTTAGAAGGTTCGCTTGAATTTTCCGGAGTTTCCGTAGAGGAACCTGCTGCGCTTTCCTCGAGAAAAGTTTGATCAGTCGCTGTAGATTTTATTTCGTAGAGTTGCTCGGCTTTGCACAATTTTACCTCGACCTTTATACAAAAAAAAAAGAATGACGATTACACAATTTAAACAATAAAAACCTACATCAAGCCTGTTAATGAAGCTCTGCAGACCTCCATGAGTTTGGAAAGCTTGCATGTCGATGTTGGTAATAAGGTCAATGACCCTAACGGCTCGAGTAACAAACTGCAACACAAAAACAAGATAAAAATTAATATAAATATTTATAAAAGAAAACGTACAGTAATATGTTCTAATTCGACTCCATGCCAGTTGATGACTTGTAAAAGCGATTCCATCATTCCGCAAGAAACTAAAGCTTCGCCTCCTGCTTCATAACTTGCTAAATGGTACAAAAATGAAAACAGAGCAGTTGCTAAAGACAAAGGGAATTTAGCATTATAATCAAGAACTTGTTGTGGGCTCATTGTAACATCACTGTTTTCCATCATTTTTGCTTCCTCACAATCAATATCAATGTCTGCTTTATCAGGGTCGTCTTTTTTACTTTGATTCTCACTGTTTTGATTTGTAAGAGTTATAATACAATTCCTAACTAAGAGAGGCAAAAATCCATGGTACTGACTAGCACCTGTGACGTCAATAATATTATTAAGTCTAGAACCGGGTTTTCTACAAAGAAAACATTAGTGTCATTATTAGTATTTCTAAAAGTTTTTTTTACTTTGGAATATGAGGATTTCTATCTAAATGTATGATAGCTGTTAGTGTCCTAAGGGCCGCGGAGCGAATTTCAACCAAATGAGGGTCCTTCATTTCAACTAACTCTACCAATTCTTCAAGAAGGCCATTGTAGAGTAGATTATGAGGAGAATCTTGAATCGCATTAGAGTAAACAAGCACAGAAAGAGCCTGCAGTCTTGCTTGCACACACAGAAGACGGTTATTGTAATCGGCGAAGTGGTAAGCCAAGCGCACACGCGTGAACAACCACATCTTAAAAATAAACAAATTTAAATCAATTCAAACCTCACAAAGCCAGTACTTGTTTATCAGGAGGCACATAATACATTCCCAGTAACGATTTCATAATTTCGGCAGGAGTTCTATGAATTTTGTCTACATGTTCAATATGAATAATATGTGGAGAATTTTTGCTATTTTTCGATGAGGCATCCTTTGAGTCTTCACATTCCCTATGAAACTCTACATGCACGGTGGTTGCGGAGAAAGGTAAGGTTTCATCTGCTCTGCAACAGTCAGCAAGACCAAAACCGTTCTCCTTTCCGCCCCAATTCTATAAAAGTCAATAATAATAACAATGACCTGATATTGACTTGAGTTGTTACCTCTGCCAAATGATGGAGCCGCGACAATAAAGAATTTTTCTTTTCAGGTGATAACCGTGAAATAAAATTGCTACGTTTGGAGAACATGTACAATAGGTTTAGAACGCCTAGAACTACTGACATGTCGTTTGACTCCAGAAGTACCAACAAGTGTTCCAACGAATTGTACAGATGTCGAGAAAACGAATGTTCTATCAAAAGGGTAGTAAAGTGTAAGATCCATAGTAACAATTTCTTTTCCTGAAACAGACAACTGTAACAAGTTTCATGTGTAGAGTTATGACTTACTGTGCTATTGTAATGAGTATCACATTTCAGAGCCCACTTATTTTCAAAGGATTTTCGTCCCGCTTCTCCTAATATTTTATCGAAAACGTCAAGAACTAAGGCCCAGTGAAGAAGCTCGCATTTCCCAAATGTCCAGGTGTTGATTTTGGACAGTTCTTCAAGGAGTTCTGTTCGGGAACATGCCTGGAGCCTCTCAATAAGCTGTTGGCACTCGATAGGAACATCAGAAGTGCTTTTCCGCACCCGTGACCTGTCTATTTTCATTGTGCCATATGTTAAGACAGGAGCATTACACCAAGTTGAGCTTTCAGAATGCTGAAAAAATGGCACTTATTGCAGGAAATTGAATGGTTGAAGAGTGGTTGTAAACTTGTACAATTAGAGGTTTGTTTTTGTTAGAGAGGTTGGAATTATAAACAAAGTATGACATGAACTTTGTTTTTACCAATTGGAACTGAGGGATTATCGCTTAGTCACTCGAAACAAAAAAATGTTTTACTACGACGGGAAATTGCACAAGATGGTTCAAAAGAAAGCACTGACGCTTGATAGTGAGTTTAAGAAATCGCGTCGTCATTTTCTCGAGGGTTTTTATCGAAATTCTCGAATTTTATACGTACGCTCTATCGGCCATATTGGAAAACAACTGACAAACAATTTCACAAACGCTGACAACTACGAAATTAAATGGAAATAAACCCTGTTTAATTACCTTAAATTTGGGCTTGTGTACGGAAAACCATTAATATATGAGCCTTCACCTCTTTGTTTATATTGCTTTTGCTGGATGACCGCACCACAAACTTGGTGATTTCCGTCACTAATGTCCCCCAAGTTTCACTGAACCGTTCCAACAACGAACTTCCAAACGATTATCACTCAACACAAAATTTTAATCCTTTTATGCCACTTGGTCATCACTATTACGCAAAAACCTACTAAAATTCAATTTCAAATCACTCTATTTTAACAAGATTTTCAACAAAATACAGTCCAATCGACAAAATAAAGGTGCTCGAATGTCATTGCTGCCAACCTTCAAACCTTTCAAATATCGCTAAAACAGAAAACTGTTCCAAAAATAATCAAGCAAATATAAAAAGATAATGCATTGCCAAAAATTTATAAAGATTAATCACTAAACAAACACTAAAATGTTCCACGCAACAAACTGCGTTTTAAAAATTACGTTTTAAACTAATTGGTTTAATCACATTTTACGTTGGCGACATCGACTGAGAGTGACACGAATTTTAAACTAAAATACACTACTCATTATTTGAAAAATTAAAAAAAAAATTATATTTTCTTTTATCAAATATTTTTTTAAATTTGTACATAATACCACAGCCCTGCAATAATGGCTTTTATTATTGTTGCGTAAAAGCAAATAATAAAATGCTACCAAAAATATTTTTTTATTAATCCTATTTATCTTCACTATTTATATAATTGTTTTAACAATTAAAATTTGTTCAATAATTTTTGTGTTAAATAATTTCATTATTGCCAATCGTTTGTTGTTGGCATTAATGGCAATTCAAAATGATAGAATGACAGCTTGACAGCTAACAGCTGTCAAAATAAAGAATGAACAAATTAGAGGTTAATTTCAACACAAAATTTAATTTATTACAAAAAGTAATAATCATTATTGATGTTAGCGATTTATACTAAAGTTAGTGTAGTGTCTAGTCAAATATGTCCCAGAGCGAATATAAATTTGTTTACTTACACGACGACAAACCATTTGAAGTCGACATTAAAATTCCATTTGAGGGATCTGTTGGAGAATTAGCCCATGTTTTGATCTTAAAAAACAACCTACCAATATATGTCGAGAAAGGTTTTTGTAAATACATAATTTGGAGTGTTTTAGGCATTGTAAATATTGTAGATCTTGCTGACAAGTTGTCTCAATTTATAAGTGACTGGAGTATAAAGCACAACAATGAACACACGGCTGCTCTTATAGACGACGCAAGAAATGACAAAACTAACATTGACGAGATAACTAAAGAATGGGAGAAATTAATGCGGGAGGAAACGGCTGAATATGGAGAACGTAGATGCGCCTCTGATGAGGAACTTTTTGCTACAGCTTACCACAAAATGGTGCATTCACCGGCACTAGAAACAATGTTACAACTGGAGCACATGTACTCAAAAACCGTGCGTGCGAAAACTGAGGAAAAAAACAAATGTATTCAGAATTTATCTATGAAACAAACTGAGGAAATGAACCATGCTGTAGACAGACTAGAACAAGACATGACTGAGTCAAAAATCAATGAATTAGTGGCGAAACACTACGAGGCTCATTCTTTACTCAAAGTTAAGTTAACGAGCGAATTGGATACAATCAAGGAGGCTCAGAGGAGGGAGTACAGGGAATGGCTGATGCTAATGCTTGAACAAAACCAAGCGACGAGTTCATTACCAACTCCTAAGTATTGTACAAAAATAAGTTTTTTGTTATACAAATCGTTCAATTTCAGCTCGCCTTTAACACCGCATTCTCCTCATCCCACAATATATTCGTCAGATGGCGCTAGGAGCCTAGATACTCCCATTTTAGAAGAAAGTTTCACCATTCATTTAGGATCTCAACTGAAACAGATGCACAATATCCGAATTTTGTCGGCAAATGTCATGGAGTTGTGCGCTGTAGAAGACAATGACCAGTCGTAGGTCTTTAAAATTTTTATTTATTGAAAATAAATCCTCTTTCAGATCTGAACCAAAACCACAACTGCTGCAAACAGCTCTAGCTTTGTATTCAAGCGACCTCTCAGGGCTTGTCCTAATGACTGACAATAAGATTGGGTCAAGACTCACACAAGATTTTCAAGAAATTTGTCAGAGAACTACTGAATTCCATTTTCCTCATATTGACGACCAGTTGGACAAAATCTCAAATACAGCTCAGCTCTATCTCAAGTCACAAAAGGAAAATAGTAACAGAAACATAAATAGTGAATTGTTACAAGCGGGTGATTTTTACATAACACGACATTCAAATTTAGCACAAGTCCATGTTATTTTTCATATGGTGTCTGATGACAGTTTAAGAGGCAGTGATATTAACAGCAGACATCCCGTAGTGTTAGGATTGAGGAATATCCTAAAAACGGCCTGCTCCAATGACATCACTTCTTTAACCATCCCTTTGTTGTTACAATACGAAATGACAGAGGTAGCAAAACTAATTGATGTATTTTTGCCTAATTGTTTTTTTTTAAGGAAATGACCATATCATGGTGTGAAAAAAGGGCAGAATTGGTTTTTAAGTGCGTCAAAGGCTTTATGATCGAAATGGCTTCGTGGGGAGGCTCCGAGTTGAAAAATTTGCAATTTATGCTACCACAAGGCATCTCAAGTAGAGTTTTCCAGTCGCTAACCGAAATGTTACCAAGAATATTCAAAGTATCAAATCCTAAAATATTGAAATAAACCTAACCATGTGATATGTAGAAAATTAAGAACTTTTATATTATCAATATTAATTGAATAAATATTTCAAGTTAATGAAAACAAATGTATTTCAATACTCTCGAACAATATATTAAAATACTGATTAAAATATAGCAGAATGATAAATAGTACAACGTAAGTTTGCGTTAAAACCATCATTTTGACTTAAATCTCTGTATTTGTTTTCTGGGCGTTGGTTGTCTTTGCCTTGCAAGAAACGACTGTCCTTGCCCCGCACTCAAAACCGCTAATCTCTCATCAATAGCCTCCCTGTGACACGTCATTCCCAATTTATAAAACGCAGCAGCCATCAGTCGCTCCTCCATTTCCTTCATATGTCTTGTGTTATTCAAAGAATCAATTCCGCCATTGCTTTTCGGTTCCAGTTGTTGTGCCACTTCTCTCGCTTTCTCCAAATTTCTCGTGTACTTCGCTTGTGCCGTTTGAAGTTCATTTTCTTTCACCGTTAGAGTCTCTTGCAGAGTCATAATTTTCTGTTTGTACTCCTTGACCAAACTATCAGCGTGTTGTGGGTCATCGCTTAACACCTTGTTCTTCAACTCTTCAATCTGTGCTTCCAGTTTCAAAATGGTTTGGTTCGCCGAACGTTTCTGTTGTTGGAGTTTTTCAACACGGGCCAAGGCGCTCTCCAGAAGAGCTTGATTCGCTTCGTGTTCTTGTAGAGAAGTGCGCAGGGTTTTATTTTCTTTTTCTAAGAACCGGAGCCGTTCTTTCATTTCAGTGGGGGTGAGTTCTTGCGCCATGGCGGCTCCTGTCTCCTTTTTCGGATGGCCGAGTTTCAGTTCATCCATTTCCTCACGAAGGACGTCTCGCTCTTGGATTATCCGTTCTCTTTCGCCTTGAAGAGCGACCAACTTGTTCTCAAGTTTTTCACAATTGAATTGGGCCTTGTCGGCTCGTTGCGTCTCTTCGTCCAGTTTTTGTTCCATTTCCATAAGTTGTTTCTTGTAGGTTTCACATTGGCTTTTCCAGCTTGTAACTTTCGCAAGTTCCTCCTCATGTTCAAGGATTTTTTGCAAATACTCCATGTTCTTTTCTTCTAGTTTTTGGAGCGTTTTCTTAGCGTCGGCGTATTTTTCTAATTTTTTCTTATATGACGCTAAATTCGCTTCAAGTATTTGGACTTTAGCGGCTGATTCTGATAGAGCATCTACTTCATCTTTCAATCGCGAAGTGTCGTTTGCAGCTAGTTGCAATTCGGCGATTTTCTCTTGATTTGCTTTAATCTGCTTTTGTTGTTCGGTGATTTTCGCTTTGAAGTCGTCTCGCATCACTTCGGCCTTGAAAAGCTCCTCTTTAAGTTCTTCATTTTGTTTTCTGAGATCTGAACTTTTACTTTCTTTGTCTTTGAGGGCTTGATTTTCAGCAAGCAAAGCTTGATTTTCTTCTAAGAGGTTGTGAAGTTGAGTTTCCATTTGTTGGCACTGTTGACTCAAGGTTTCTTTAGCTTCATTTGCAACCTCCAGCTCTCCAACTAGTTGAGACACTCTTGTATCACTGTCAAGGATTAAAAGACTTCCAGAACGTCCACCAGTCACCAAATCAAGTTGCTCAATTGCCTGTTTTATGTTTTGCTGGACGGATTCTTCCATGTCCATTATTTTTGTGATATATTCTTGCTTTGTCTCGCAGTTTATTGCACATCCTAAAATAAAATGTAAAAAATCTTAACTTAACATACTTTACTCACCTAAAATTAACCGTAAAAGCTTGGATAATTGCACAGGATCATTGTTAGCCCCAACTTCAGTCACATCAGGTCGCCCATCTTCAAGCAGTTGGAGAGTGAGAACATCCTGATAGTATTCAGTAACAGCTTCAAGAATTTTTTTCAAATTACTGACACGCAGCCTCCAACTTGAACTAACATCTCTCTTAATTTTTGGTTCTAATTTCCTAAAGTGTTCTGGTGCTATTTGTATTAAAGCTTCTAACATTGCAACCCCATCACATATTTCTTCAATATTTCGAGCTCTACTTGGCACTATACTTTGGAACCAAGTTATCAAACTTTCACACATACCACTACTTGGATTCATTTTTATTGTAGCGTGAGACATGTGGATTATCAATAGACTAGACGGGAGGGATTTGTAAAAAGTGACCCTTATAATTGTGACATATTTATCAATACATCGTCGTGTCAAATGTCATTCTCATTAACTTTGACATTTTGACAATAATTAACAACTACGTTACGTCAGTAAGTAGAAAAAGATAGATAAAATTAACGAGCGGGTGCTGGAATGAAATACAAATAGAGTTGGTGTTATTGTTAGATACGTGCGCTAATACCAGACAACAAGAGTAAAATTTCCCCAGATTGACCCTAATTGAAAATCGCAATAAATTTTATAATAATGAACGTAAAATTCTTCAACTTTTTCCTATTAACCTTACAGGAGTATGCACAATCAGTAATGAAGTCAAAAATACACAAGATTATTATTTTGTGAAAGAAAAAAAATCTAAAAATGAGGACGATGCTACTTTAGCGCCCCTAGCGGTTTTCTATGTAACTAAATCTATTATTATTTTCACAGATTTTCAATTTGTTCTAAGGAGAGGCTGCGGCCCTTGGGGCCTCAATAGTTGTTACATATTGCAAAATCCCATTAATTCCTGTACAAATATGACCCGTGAGTAAAATTTGTTGTGTAATTGGACAGTTCGACGTAATTTTTGTAGGTGGTAACCAACGTGAGCTCGCGAGAGCGAAAAACCAGAAAAAACAGCAAGAATTGGCGAAAGGTAAAGGAAAAAACGATGGATTAACTGTAGAACAACGAAAATTTAGGTGAGATAATAATTTTAGAATGCTGATACTGATTTGATGTTCCAGGGATGCTGAAATGATGAGAGAGAAACAGCGAAAGAAAGAAGAGGCGAAATCCAAATCTCACTCATAAATTAATCGTTTGTTTTAGTACCTATATATATTTTTTGTACTATGGAATTACAGGGCAATTGTAGCATTTACTATTCTCAGTTTTTTAAAGTATTAACCGCCCATTTGACAGTTTTGTAATCATTACTTTGTTCATTAAATTTTCAAGCCCTCACAGTCCTTTCTCTGCTGCTTTAATGTTCCCTTATTATTAATAGAGTGTAAAATGTAAGATAAAAACCAGCTAGGTCATAGGTCAGGAGTATTAAAAAGTAGGTGAAGGTATAAATCAATAGAACACTGACATGAGGTCAAATATATTTTTTTTTTCATAATTTAATCATACAAACAAAGTATTTCGCACCAACGCAAGTTATTGTTTAAAATAAGAACTCTTAAACAGAAGAGAGCAAAAAACCACGGATATGATAGCTAAGAGGTACAAAAGTATTTTTTTGTGTACTCGCACAGCCTTATTATCACTACATAACCCACGTATAAGGTTGTGTACAATTTGAGATTGTTGCGAGAACAGAGTTTTTTTGAGTTTAAGTTACATGAAAAATGATTTTACAAAGAATTTTTTTGTAAATTTTATACACCAACGCATTCAAATACCTAATTATAATGTTGCAGCAACAAAAGAGAAGGGTTATTAAAGCTGCTCTAATCACACAAAGTGTTGGACACTCCTTTATAACGTTTGACAATGAGATCGTTACGCTTTAAAGAAGAATAATAATAATCCTCAAATATACAGTGTATGATTAACAGACTCTAGTTCACAGAAAATCTTTACATGAAGAGCTTACAAATCTCACAAATTACAGAAATTTACAACTGTTAAATAAATAATCTCAATAGAGAAGGTAAAAATGACGCAATTAATAAAAAAATACTATTTTTCAAATATGTACATGTGAGATTCCAGGACCATATGCAATATAGAGCAACTTAAGATGAACCGGTTACAGTTTCTACAGCTGTATGGGCTCCACCAGGTATAAATTCAGCAGCTAGTGGGTTGAGATTGCTTTCCTTAACAACTTCAGGACAATCCAACTTTAGATTGTTGATCATGTTTGATATTTCGTTGTTATCACTGAAATTATAAATAAATAAGATAATCTTATTTTTTTTCTATTATACAATAACAATATTATTTTTCAACAAAAACTTGTTTGTTTTGGAGGAAAACAATGACAATAAGGTCAAATGCACTCTAAATTTTCATGCCACTTTTCATGAAAAATTCAAAGTTCTGACACAATGTTAAATTATGGCTTTATCTTTAGTGCATGTTTATCTACGCACTTATAACGTTTTGTTTACATTACGTGTTTTAAACTATGAAATATGGCCAATAATAGAGAAAGTAACATGATATTAATATGCAGGTCAGCACAAGGTTTTTCGACTTTGAAAAACCCGCTTCTATAAAAAATAGAAGTAAATCCCATGATCAAAGCAGTCACCTGTCAAGGCCAATTTTGGTTCTTCATTTTTCATTTGTTTTTACTGTTCCAGTCAAGGTTATGTTCAGGTTTGAAAGTATTAAAAGAAAAACTACTTACTCAACCCCATTAACATGATTTGAAGAAACTTCACTGTTCTCATCTGCTAACATAGCCTCAATGCATTCTTCCATAAGGGCTTCTTCTTCAAGCCTTTGCATGACCTGTAACAAAAGATGATAAATGTAAATTGGTTTGGTAAATGTAACTTGTTAAATACCTCCTTATCAAACTCCTCTTCGTTTTCCATCCACAGATATTCGGAAAAATCATCCTCCCCTGAAGCATTGAATTCTTCAACTCCATTATTTTCTATGCTTTCTGAAATGTAAGTTGTGTCTTCGTAGTCGTAAAGGCCGTTCTCAGATGACTGATTGCTGGGCATTTTCATGCTCTTAAATCAAATAAAGCGATATTTTGGACGTGTTATTGACTTTAATATATGCAGAATAATTCTCCACCATTTTAAGCAAATGGCACGTTTGGATTGGAAAATGCTAATACTTACAAAGGATGCAATTGCGGTTTTTGATAGCGGAATGGTGACAATTGCGTAAATTCTTTTTTCGATTACAAGAAATAACGTTTTCACGATTTTATCGTGGAAAAAAACGGAGATTTGCTTGATATTAACTCTATTGTCAAACAACTAAACAAGCTGTTTGCGTAAAGTACGAGTTACACGAAATACAGAAGTGGCAGCACTGCAAGCGACCAATTCACTTGTGACTACACACAAATTGTGTATTGCTAGTGGACTAACTTAAAATAACTATTGTTTTTTAGGACAACTAATTAAACAAATAATACGTAAAAACTTAATTTATACATACTATTAAAATATCTGCTTTAAATGTAAATCTAATAATTATTTTAAATTTGAACTTTAATTCACTTCTTATACAGTTGTGTATAAAGTGTTGCCTATACGTATTATTTTAAATTAAGGGATATACCGGTGTTCTAGCGAGCTGGCAAAATCCGTTAGTGACCTTTTAATGTTAGAATTTAAAAACAAAGTATACAGGAAATTGATAGATACTAATCTAGTGCACTGCCTAAAATTATTTTTTAACTATACAGCGTGTTCCAAAATAAGTTACAATACAAACTTGTATTTTTTTAAATGAAACAATGTATGTTTTTTGGCATTTTTAGATGTAGCTTTTTATTACAATATTTTTAAGTTAAACTTTTATTGGTCGATTTTGCTTAGTTTTTGAAATAAGTTGTTTTTTTTTTGATGATAACATTTTCTTTTTAAAAATTTATTACACAAAAACTAGAAAAAAAATTCTACTACTGTAAAGAAGAAAGTACAAACTTAAAGGGTTTAACAGTTTTTGATTGCATTGCAATTTTAAAGATAAAAAAAATGTAGAAATTTGTTAAAAGTTTTAAAATCTAAAATTGATTATTAAAGAAACATTTAACTTTTAATATTAATTGTATGTATAACTCTAAACATGAGTAATTTTTTAAAGTCGACCTTATAATGGACGCATACAAAATTGTCCAAAGTAAAATAATCCAAAGTAATTTTATCCAAAGTAAAAGTGTCTAACGTAAAATAATCCAATGTAAATTGGTCCAACATAATTTTGTCCACCGTAAATTAATCCAACGTCATTGACAGAGATGGCCCCTGCGCAAGAATAAATAGAAAAATTGACTGATATCAAACGACTGTATAAAAAACAGCAAATTATATCGACTGTTGTCATAAAAAACTGCATTAAATTAAAAAAAAACTACTTTATAAAATTCATAAAAACTACTTACTTGGTAATTTTGTTATCAAAAGAACATCAAAATCTTTGGACATTTTTACGGTTGACAAAAGTACGGATGCTCATTTTACTTTGAACAGAAATACTTTGGACATTTTTTTTAGATTCAATACATTTCAATATTTCAATTAATTTTATAAGTTATATTTAAAGACAACGAAAAGAAATCTCCCCAACTGGCAAAAATACCAACGTGCAAAAAATTGAGTAAAAAATACTCTAATTAAGTTCGAATTAAGTTTATTAAATAAAAAAATAATTGGGACCTTTTTTGGGTTCCAAAATTTTAAAAAATTGTGTTCTATAACTCTTAAATAGAGGCTTCTAATACTTATTAAAATACATTTTTTTTTAATGTTTTGATATTTATAAAAATAACTCTCATGCTTTTATGCTCATGCGCTTTTATGTTTTGCTCTTATGCTTATGTTCTCGTTTTTGCTCTTATGCTTTCATGCGCTCTTATTATGATTATTGGAATTAAAAAAAATTGCTGATTTTTGCGGGATTTAAACGCTGGACCTACCTGCTGGAAGTAGTGATCTTAACCACGCTCTCAGCATGTTTTTCTGATCTAGTTTAATATTTTCATATCAAAATTTTAAAACAATTTAATTTTTGTGTTTCTAGAACGTTTATGCACTTTTAGACCACTTGAAGTGCATTTTATCAATTTTGAAGTTTTCAGTTTTTTGAAAAAAACTACTTATCATTTTATAATTTTGAGAAAATAATTTTTTAACCGTGATAGAGTTTTCTTTAATACAAACATCTCATTTAATGAAATCGCACCCCTGACCTAGGCTTTGTGCTTTGCAATGTCTCGTAGTGCGTGTCGATTAGCTCCTCCACATGGCTCCCCAAGTCTGAATGAGTCACCAGCAGTTTATCTAAAATCTGTCAAAGACACGTGCTGCTTAAGGGTTGTTAATTTGCATTTACCCTAAATCGAAAGCAGCTGAGTGCGCGAGCCGTTGCGCATCTCGTCGCGCTTTTACGACAGTAGAGAGCACACCGTGGAAATGGACAGAGTGTTAAAACGCGTGGGCCTTTCGAAAAGAACTCAATCTGAGATAAAGGCCCAAGAGCAGACCACTAGTGAGGAAAAAACGAAAATACGCCGCCGCCGCAGGAGCAAATCGCGACGGAGGTCTAGTCAGGAGAGTAAAAAAACACGCGGACTATTTAATATTGATTGGGAATCGGTAAAAGACTGTAAATCCTGCAAGTCGAGGGCCATCACAAGGCGGTTTTGCAGCAAAAGATGTGATAATGAGCTCTATAGGTCCAATAGTTTCAAGTTCGAACGATTCATCAGGGGCAGTGAGGAAGCCTCCACTTTGGGCAAAAAGGTGAGTCACTCGACACCCCCATAACAGGTGGATTGGGGGTAGGACCCGGGCTCAATCACATATTAAACAGCGATAACCTGTTGACCTCTCATTTACATGTCTTGACGAATTTTCAACGGTTTGATCTCTTTTGTCTAACATTTAACCTTTGACACCGAGATGTTGCCTTACTATCAATATTAACATACTGATGACTTATTTATTTGTTATTCCCATTCGATACTCTTTTGTTTTCGATTATTCTAACCACGCTGATTCACACATTATACTTCATAATGGCTTTTCAAGGCACAAAAAATTACATTAATTGTTGTCGCAATTAAATAAATCACATTTATTTTAATTAAGCAGATTTGGAATTTTCACCTAGGGGAGCCTGGCGCACATTGGGCCACTAAACTACGCTCTAAAAACATCCATAGGTGATTTATCTAAATACTGAGACTATGTATCATAAAAACTGATAAAAACAACTGGTTTTGTTTACTCATTTGTTTCAACATTTTTAAATTCGCTAATTAAAACGATGTCCGGTCATAAGGGTTTGACTTTAATAATGAACGTGATGTTTACATTTGGGTGAAAAAAGGCCACTTTTAATTGGTAGCTATTATGTAAATTGACTCAATTTGCCATATTTTATAATTAAACCAGTCTATTGATTTTTCATTCGCGGAAAAAATGATTTATTTATATCTGGTTTAGAAACAGAATAAATTACGGAAAGCTAAATCTGAAGTGTACTTAGTGACTCATAGCTCGAAAATTAAATCCTAAACTTCATCCAGGAAATTCCGATACGTGGTATTTAGACCAAAATAAAAAAATGCGAGTCTGGAAGCAAACCCGGAATTCTTTGAGTGTGCTATTTCGCACAGCGATGGCGCTGTACACCCTCACTCCAGACTTGTTTTATCAAACGTCAAATACAATATTTTAATGCTGGAACGTCAATCCATGTTAGAAGTTTCTTATCTCGTGGGAAAACAAAGAAACAATTGCGTCTGGCAAGTCTTCAGTGTCACGAATCACAGCCTGTTTTCTCCAATTTAATTAATCTATCAAGTTGGCCTAATCCCATTGAGACTTTACCGAAAAATTGAATGTTTTGTGGAGTTAGTCACCTACAGACTGATTCACGTAAAAATACTGATCCGAGAAACTTTAAATGACAGTTATCAGGCGTTTAGTTTTATATCAATCAGTCAGTGTATTAATAAAAGCAAATCGGATATAAAAGATGTCTGTTGCTACATTAGTAAATAAAACGCACAATTATATTAAGTAACGACAAGTTTTTATAGCCTATAGGATATTTTATGGCATATTTGGGAAATTGGAAACGGTCGTAACCAAACGCGTTGCTTTTGTTACTATAACCCTTTTAATTTTCAGAATCTTCAAATCCCTTGATTACTGTTTTCGAGATTAAGCTGTAGCATGACAGTTTTGAGCTCAACACTACCTATATTTATGGACATGCAACCACGAGCAAATACCTTCGGGATTTGTGCTCCCCCTACACACGAACAATAAATAAAGAATACGACAGCAAATAATTGCTTCTCACAACCACTTATAGAGATAGATCGAGCTATGAAGGCTTAACCCGGCATTATTTATTAACGAAATCTCAGATTGTGCCAAACAGAAATGAAAATTGCAATTGTTTTTGCGAAATTTCCGCTCGCTGGGCTTTTGCTTTAATTATTCCGGTCCATCCAGCGCATGAAGGGATTTCCCTAATCAGTAGTGCACAAGCGGTACACTACGCGTTTAATGAAATCGAAATTTTTCCAGCTTCTAATTGTTATGTTCCAACTTTAATTAGATAAGTTTTTTTCTATTAAGAACTTAAATCTCGGCGGTAATAAATAACAAGGTATGGGAGGTATCTGAAGCGGAAAAACTGTGAGATTATCCTCATAAAGTACACCTGGACTTTGAAATTGTACCACAATATTTTACCCAAAACCGTCCAAGGTGAAAATTTCATCCATTATATTGATTCGTCTTAGAACACAATAGATTGATTTATTCGCAAACAAAAGAGCGACTCCAATTGGGTGATTCGGTCGAGTGAAGCTTTTTGTCCACTTTATGGCCTTGACAATAGAGTTTTCTTCTCTATTTCTATTAATTGATTGCTTGTTTTTACATTTTTTTAAGAATAAATAAAACTCCTATTTGACTAAAATTTTACCCGGCACCTCCACCATATTTTTAATTACAACAATTTACAATTTTTGTTTGATTTTTATTTTTGCTTTTTTGAAATAAACAAAACTGTCAATTTTTATTTTTAATAATCGATAATTTTTAATGTGATTTTTATGTTAACAAACAATTTTTTTTATGCTTTTATTATATTTAAGTTTTAATTTTATAATTGTAATAATTTTGCACTAAGCATTTTTATTTTTAATTCGAATAACATATTTGATGTTTTTCAACATTTTTGTACTATTCAGATAAATGGAAACTGTCATTTGTTATAAATTGTAAGATGATCAAAAGTTTTATTTGGCGTTCCCATCGGTCTTACATTTTTTGTTGTTGTTCTATTTTTTGCATATTTTTAAGTTTTTACCATTTTCATCATTTTTTTTGGAATAATAATTAACACTACGTTTTTTTGTTTTTACTGACCTTTTACATTTTTAGATTTTTGAACTGAATACAACTTTCGTTCGTCCTCACAATTGTTATAATTATTAAAAAAAAAATCTATCTTTTCAAAGCTTTTTTAATTGTGAAAATAAATTATTTCTATTAAATGTTAGATTTATTAATGTTTATCATTATTTTTTCATTATTTTGATAAATCAAAAATGTTTATTCTTAAATTTATAATTAAAATTGGCCAGGCTTTTTTCCTATTTTTATTTCTCAATTGCATGTTTCTCTACGTGGATCTCTGATTTAAACAAGACTGTCATCTGAGATCACATATTTTATATAATTTAATTGATTTAAACTTCTATTTATTTTTTATGCTTTTAGCATTTTCAGATGTATATTTTTGCAGCGAAAATTGCATGCAGCTCTTTTATTTATTTCTATATTTTTAAAGTTATAAAATAAACAAAATTTTTATCTAATCAATAAATTATTAAATCAACATTTATCCTGGCGTTTTCACCATTTATAAGTTTCAATTTTCTTAATTGTTAAAATTTATGACAAAGTTTTTTGTTTTATTCAGATTAAGTCGGATGTCTTTTATTTCTTTTTTTGCATTTTTGAAGCCATTATAAGTGTCATTTGTTTTAAAATGTGTAATTTTTAATTTAATCATTATTAAAAAATGTTTGTTTGTGTGATCAAACGTTTAAGTGATCAATTTTTTAAATTGTTTAAATGTAAAAATTAATTTTCTTTAAATTTTCATTAAAATATCATGATTTTCCGACGCTTTCGTAATAGATATTTCAAGAAAACTGTCATTTGAGACCAAATTTTTCAGATATCTTGTTTATTTAATATTTTTTTGAACATTTTTTACATATTTTTGATTTTTGAAACAAATTGAGCAATTGCTAGACTACCAATTGATTAAAACTGTCATTTATTTTTGATGTTTTTAGCATTTTTACATCTTTTTTTTTGCAGTAAAAATTGCATGCAGCGTTTTTCCATTTATTTTCATTAATTCTAAAGCTTTGAAATAAACAAAATTTGTATCTTATCAATAAATCATTAACTCAACGTTTTATCCCGCTTCCAGCATTTATAAGCTTCAATTTTTTAATTGTTAAAATTTATGACGAGGTTTTCTGTTTCATGCAGATCAAGTGGGATGTTTTTTATTTTTTTGGATTTTTTAAGTCAATATAAATGATATTTTTTTTAATGTTTTGTTTTGACATTTCCCCGGCGCTTTCAACATTTTTGGTTATTAATTTTTAATTTAATTTATCAGTACAAAAATTATTTGCGTGCATGATAAAACGTTTTAAATGATCAATTTTTTAAATTGTTAGATTGTTAGAAATTAATATTTATTTTAATTTGTCATTAAAATGCTATATTTTCCCGGCGCTTTCACCATTTTTACAGCACAAATTTTAATTTTTCTAGTTATAATTTTGTAATTACGGAAGCAGCGTGTAAATAAATTTTGTGGAATGTCAGAGAATAAATTCGTTTTCAACGGAATTTTGTTTTTGCGTTAACGGGGTGTCTGCGCCGCGATGAACTTGATAAGCTTAGCTTTAAAAATTATTTTTCTACATGGAGGGTATCATTAGGATCTCGTTATCTCTCCAAAATGGGAAAGAATCACAAAAAGCTTGAGATTTCGACAGGTGAATTGTTAGAAAAACGTAGCGCGACGTCTGATTGGTGCAAATAAAAATTAAACGGTGCAAGAGGGGAATCCAATTCTTTCTCTACACCCTCCGGATTTTAAATCACTTAAACACAAGACGGCTTGCTCAAACGCCATAGATTTATAGAACATGCTGTTGTGCGATCGATTCATGTAACATTTTTTTATGCTCTATCTCTCTTGTGTTTTTTTATATTAATTTCTGTGTGAAACAATTATTGTGTGAAAGCTTTTATTGTTAAATAATTTAGTCGTTCAAGACTTTACACATCCATTAACTATAAAACCAGCGGGCAAAAATGAAAGTGCTTTTCTGGTGCGCAAGTCCGAAAATCGATTTCATAAAAGCGTGGAATGTGTGAAAGCGCAAACGCAGCTTTTTCCTCCTTATTGGAGCTTGCTGATGTCACAACGGACTTGATTCTATATATAGCGAATGAGTCATCTTCTATACAGTATTTTCCCAAGGTCTGAAGGGAAAGCACGTTTGATTTATTTACATTTGTGCGTACTTATTTTTACTTGTTTAACCGACAATACACATAGAGGTAAGTCTTGTTTCATGTCGTTGAGCTTTTTGAGCTTTGCTGGTGTCTCAAGAGGAGTGTCATGACCTAACCTTAATGACCTCGTGCATAAGCATGCTGAGCTTTTCTTGATGTAATTACAA